CGTTCGCCGGAGAAGGGCTTTCAGATATTTTCTTAGACAGAAGAACGCTGCTGCGCATTAGGGGGGGGCGGTAACCGATGCAGCCCTGTAGACGTTTCAGGGGCCGCTCCTTCACCACGTCCCCAACACATTTTTTACCTCTTGGACCGTGATGTCGTCTTCGCTTTGTGACCACCGCGGTACCCGAGTTGGTTCGCTCTCCAACACGCGACCGCCGAGTGCTGAGCCAGTGGCCAATTGGTCGCGGTTTTGCCCACGTGACGAGCCCCCTGAGTTGTTTGGTCTGCGTGGGGCGGTGGCGGCTGCGGGCGTAACGACGCATTTGTAGTGTCACGCCATCTAACCCCATGACACCTCTGTTACGGATATCATTGAGCGCGGAAACCTCCGAGGTATTCAGCAGAAATGGGGTTCTTGAGGAGGAGGGGGAGGAGGGGGGAGGAGGAACGCAACAACAAACATGAATTATAATTATTCGAGAGAGGGGCAAAGTTAGACCTTCGCCCGTCACTTAGAGACCCATAGACTCACACAGAGACCCATATACTCACTTAGAGACCCATAGACTCACACAGAGACCCATAGACTCACACAGAGACCCATAGACTCACACAGAGACCCATAGACTCACACAGAGACACTCACACAGAGACACTCACACAGAGACCCATAGACTCACACAGAGACACTCACACAGAGACCCATAGACTCACACAGAGACCCATATACTCACTTAGAGACCCATAGACTCACACAGAGACCCATAGACTCACACAGAGACCCATAGACTCACACAGAGACCCATAGACTCACACAGAGACACTCACACAGAGACACTCACACAGAGACACTCACACAGAGACCCATAGACTCACACAGAGACACTCACACAGAGACTCATAGACTCACACAGAGACCCATAGACTCACACAGAAACCCATAGAATCACACAGAGACCCATAGACTCACACAGAAACCCATAGACTCACACAGAGACCCATAGACTCACACAGAAACCGATAGACTCACACAGAGAAACATAGAAGCACACAGAGACCCATAGACTCACACAGAGACCCATAGACTCATACAGAGACCCATAGACTCACACAGAGACCCATAGACTCACACAGAGAAACTAAGAAGCACACAGAGACCCATAGACTCACACAGAGACCCATAGACTCACACAGAGACCCATAGACTCACACAGAGACCCATAGACTCACACAGAGACCCATAGACTCACACAGAGACCCATAGACTCACACAGAGACCAATAGACTCACACAGAGAAACATAGAAGCACACAGAGACCCATAGACTCACACATAGACCCATAGAATCACACAGAGACCCATAGACTCACACAGAGACACTCACACAGAGACCCATAGACTCACACATAGACCCATAGACTCACACAGAGACCCATAGACTCACACAGAAACCGATAGACTCACACAGAGACCCATCGACTCACACAGAGACCCATAGACTCACACAGACCACCCATAGACTCACACAGAGACCCATAGACTCACTTAGAGACCCATAGACTCACACAGAGACCCATAGACTCACTTAGAGACCCATAGACTCACACAGAGACCCATAGACTCACACAGAGACCCATAGACTCACTTAAAGACCCATAGACTCACACAGAGACCATAGACTCACACAGAGACACTCACACAGAGACCCATAGACTCACACAGAGACCCATAGACTCACAAAGAGACCCATAGACTCACTTAAAGACCCATAGACTCACACAGAGACCCATAGACTCACACAGAGACACTCACACAGAGACCCATAGACTCACTTAAAGACCCATAGACTCACACAGAGAAAGATAGAAGCACTCAGAGACCCATAGAAGCACACAGAGACTCATAGACTCACACAGAGAAACATAGACTCACACAGAGACCCATAGATTCACGCAAACACCCATAGACTCACACAAAGACTCATAGAATCACACAGAGACCCATAGACTCACACAGAGACACTCACACAGAGACCCATAAACTCACTTAAAGACCCATAGACTCACACAGAGAAAGATAGAAGCACACAGAGACCCATAGAAGCACACAGAGAAACATAGACTCACACAGAGAAACATAGACTCACACAGAGACCCATAGACTCACGCAAACACCCATAGACTCACACAAAGACTCATAGAATCACACAGAGACCCATAGACTCACGCAGAAACCCATAGACTCACACAGAGACCCATAGACTCACACAGACCACCCATAGACTCACACAGAGACCCATAGACTCACACTGACCCAGCTGTGAATTAAAGAATATTGATGGACGTTGGGTGAACGATCTTGGACGGAGCTGCAAGGGAGGAGGGTGACCGTGCTCCGGCGACTCCTTTGAGAGCGGCCGCCACTCCCACAGACAGGAAGTCGTCTCGGAGAGCACGTGCTCTTGGCCGAGTTACACAATATTAACATTACGCTCATTTCAGTGGTGATTTAATGTAATTGTCCCGGATAACGTTTATTTATCGTGATTTACTATCGGTACACGCTCTCGACCGGAGAGAGAGAGAGAGAGCGAGAGAGAGGAGAGAAAGATAAATGAAGAAAGAGAAAGTGAGGAGAGAGCGAGGCGAGAGAGAGGGGAGAGGGAGAGAGAGCGAGAGAGAGGAGAGAGGAAAGAGAGGCGAGAGAGGGGAGAGAGATGAGAGCGAGGGGGGAGAGACAGGAGATCGAGAGGAGAGAGAGTGAAACGTGGCATGTGTACGGGAGAGGAAACACAAACGCGATGCTCCCCCCCCCAAGTCCCATTTGTTGTCGGTCAGCCGGGCCCACGGAATGGATTTGGATTCGCGTGATCTCGTCGGCGTCGCCCGGCACTCCTCCCCCGGTGGCACGGAACGGATTAAAGGGCATTTAAATGTTGGCAATTAAACGAATTCCCTTACCTCTTCGCGCGTGTGTGTGTATTCATTACTGTCAGTATCATTTTTGCTGTTGTTGCCATATTCGAGGCTTAATAAGGGTCGCCATGGAAGAAGCACCTTAGATAGAGAGGAGAGAGAGAGAGCGAGAGAGCGAGCGAGAGAGCGAGCGAGAGAGCGAGAGAGCGAGCGAGAGAGTGAGTGAGAGAGCGAGCGAGAGAGCGAGAGAGTGAGCGAGAGAGAGAGCGAGAGAGTGAGCGAGAGGTGGGGGTTTACATAAAGCTAAGTTATTATTTAAAAAAAAAAACGAAATGATGAACGAAGCAAAGTGCCGACTACACCGAGCATCTTCTTGTTTCCACTGATTGTAAAAAAAAGAGAGAGAGGAGAGACGCACTTGGGGTACGTTGAGCGAGAGGCACCAAAGCCGGTGGGGGGGGGGGGGCGGGGTGCAGGAAAGCACGGATCGGAGAGCGAATACAAAAACACGGGAGATGCCGCACGTTGCCCGCCAACGGACCGTGCAGCGCTGCCGGGCGTCGTCTCGGCCGCGGCGGCGGTGGCGGCGGCAGCGCGAGCGGCCAGCGAAGGGGGAAAAGGTCGCGGGTTCACATCCCCGCCGAGGAAGTTCGAGCCGACCCGTACGCCGCTCCGTTTGGCTTCACTCAAACGGGTTGCCGGGCTGTGGGGCCGAGGTTCAACGGCAGTTGTCCTCTGGAGAGACACTACCCGCCTCCTCCTCCTCCTGCTGCCACCATCCTGCCATAGGAATGTAGAATTGCCATCAGTGGCTATGCAAGGGGGCTCTGAACGGGAGATGAACGCCGAGGCCTCGATACCGACTTGAGCGGTGGAATAATAACAATATTGATATTCCATCACAGTTCGGGTTAGACGGTAGTGAATATGAGATGTGTGTCGTTAATCCTCGCCACCACCCGACACAGCCGATTGGCAAGGTTTTTGTCGCGGTAGCAAAACGTGCCCAACTCGTTACCAGTAAAGCAATCACCGGTGTGTTGGAGCGTAAACCCACAACGTTACAACAATTGTATTATTCTTAATGATAACAATAATGCTTTCATTTTAATAGCGTCATTCATGCTAATAGCATCCCACAATGCTGCGAATTAATTTTATGTATATATATACCAGGACCAAACCCATATCCAGCCACTGCCAAGAAAATGACTACTACTTCTACGAGCGAGAAAAACCTGAAGTCAATGAACAAATGCAGGACAGCGTTTCGACGTTCACTTGCGTGATGAGTGCCGGTGGGCCCTGGGGGTGCCAGGGTGTGTGGGCGGAAGGGAAGTGGGGGGGGGGGGCGACACCCAGAGATGGAATGGTAGCCCAAAGGGGGAGTCGTCTTAGACCGGCCCGCGCTCATCAGCGTCTCCCCAGCACAACGCGGCATCTAAGGGTATTTTCCAACGTGGCAATTAACTAAATTCCCCATACCTCTTTGTGCCTGAATATATACTCGTTATTATGGCGAGGCGCCCACTCGGAATGAATAAGTTGGAAACAAATTCAGAATTCGGAGGCATCAAAGACGGCGTTTCTTGAAACCCAACCCCTTGCAATCCGCCCGTCGGCATGAATCCGACTGCGGTCGATGGATGCGCGAGTTGCGTGGTACGGAGGGTTCAGAGCGTGTGGGTGCTCCCGCGGTATTGCCGGAAAACCGCGCAGCCGGCTTGGCCTCTCTCAGAGAGGTGGCGGGGGGAGGGGGGCCCTCCCTCTCTGGAGCTGCGTCGAGCCTAGTGCCGTTGGCAATGATGGGGGGGGGGGGGGGGAAACAAATATTTTAAAAAGCTGCTTCAATACGCGCGAATTCGAGGCACGGTGTCGGGGTCCGTAATAAATGAGGTCGTGAAGTGGTCCTCGAAGAGCCACCGCAGGTTGCCCCGACTCCCCCCCCCCCCCCTGATCTCAGCCAATGCCGGAGGAAGAGACCCTTCCCTCCGGCAGTGGCACTAGCAGGAAACTGCTAGCCTCGTCGGGGCAGCGAATGTAAACCGTCGTTCTGTGCGTGCGCCCTCTTCTCTTGTGTCCGCAGGGCATGCCGGGACCTCAGGGGCCGATCGGACAACCGGGAGAGAGGGTACGTCGCTCCCGTTCCCCTCGTGCGGTGGTCGGGGTTGGCGGGGTGCGGCGGGAGCGGGGCCGGGGCTGGCTTCCACCGAGATCTCGGAACTCTGCCCGGTCACCCGGACTCGCACCGCGGCTTAATCGCGTTGGAGGGAGGGGAGAGGGGGGGAGGGCGGTGGGTGGGTGGTTCGCGTAAAGAACGAAGCCATGAACTGAAACAAACAGACCTACACGCTTGGGGCTTTCGCAATCAATATTATCCGTAATAAAGGTTTTTGGGTGAGATCGCGTGAGTATAAATGCGTCGTAACCCTCCACCACCCGACACGGGCAGTAAGATTCGTCACGTAATTGGACGCGTCGTTTACGCGACAAACATTACTGTCCGTGTCGGGTGGTGGAGGGTTACGACGCATTTATATTCACCCGATCTCACCCAGAAAACCTTTAACGTGGAACAAAACCACGTTAGAGCTACAAAACTCAAATCGGTTTAGTAGCGCGGCGACTGGAAACCCGAACGTGAACCCAGGATAATCAGTGCGGCCGGCTCAGTGCTCTGACCTCTCAGTGACCTCCATATGTGAGTCTATGGGTCTCTATGCGAGTCTATAGGTCCCTGTGTAAGTCTATGGGCCTATATGTGAGTCTATGGGTCTCTATGCGAGTCTATAGGTCCCTACGTAAGTCTATGGGCCTGTATGTGAGTCTATGGATTCCTATGGGAGTTTATAAGTCCCTGTGTAAGTCTATGGGCCTGTATGTGAGTCTATGGATTCCTATGGGAGTTTATAAGTCCCTGTGTAAGTCTATGGGCCTGTATGTGAGTCTATGGATTCCTATGGGAGTTTATAAGTCCCTGTGTAAGTCTATGGGCCTGTATGTGGGTCTATGGATTCCTATGGGAGTTTATAAGTCCCTGTGTAAGTCTATGGGCCTGTATGTGAGTCTATGGATTCCTATGGGAGTTTATAAGTCCCTGTGTAAGTCTATGGGCCTGTATGTGAGTCTATGGATTCCTATGGGAGTTTATAAGTCCCTGTGTAAGTCTATGGGCCTGTATGTGAGTCTATGGATTCCTATGGGAGTTTATAAGTCCCTGTGTAAGTCTATGGGCCTGTATGTGAGTCTATGGATTCCTATGGGAGTTTATAAGTCCCTGTGTAAGTCTATGGGCCTGTATGTGAGTCTATGGATTCCTATGGGAGTTTATAAGTCCCTGTGTAAGTCTATGGGCCTGTATGTGAGTCTATGGATTCCTATGGGAGTTTATAAGTCCCTGTGTAAGTCTATGGGCCTGTATGTGAGTCTATGGGTCTCTATGCGAGTCTATGGGTCCCTGTGTAAGTCTATGGGCCCCTGTGTAAGTCAATGGGCCTGTATGTGAGTCTATGGGTCTCTATGCGAGTCTATGGGTCCCTGTGTAAGTCTATGGGTCCCTGTGTAAGTCTATGGGCCTGTATGTGAGTCTATGGGTCTCTATGCGAGTCTATGGGTCCCTGTGTAAGTCTATGGGCCCCTGTGTAAGTCTATGGGCCTGTATGTGAGTCTATGGGTCTCTATGCGAGTCTATGGGTCCCTGTGTAAGTCTATGGGTCCCTGTGTAAGTCTATGGGCCTGTATGTGAGTCTATGGGTCTCTATGCGAGTCTATGGGTCCCTGTGTAAGTCTATGGGCCTGTATGTGAGTCTATGGGTCTCTATGCGAGTCTATGGGTCCCTGTGTAAGTCTATGGGCCTGTATGTGAGTCTATGGGTCTCTATGCGAGTCTATGGGTCCCTGTTTAAGTCTATGGGCCTGTATGTGAGTCTATGGGTCTCTATGCGAGTCTATGGGTCCCTGTGTAAGTCTATGGGCCTGTATGTGAGTCTATGGGTCTCTATGCGAGTCTATGGGTCCCTGTGTAAGTCTATGGGCCTGTATGTGAGTCTATGGGTCTCTATGCGAGTCTATGGGTCCCTGTGTAAGTCTATGGGCCTGTATGTGAGTCTATGGGTCTCTATGCGAGTCTATGGGTCCCTGTGTAAGTCTATGGGCCTGTATGTGAGTCTATGGGTCTCTATGCGAGTCTATGGGTCCCTGTGTAAGTCTATGGGCCTGTATGTGAGTCTATGGGTCTCTATGCGAGTCTATGGGTCCCTGTGTAAGTCTATGGGTCTGTATGTGAGTCTATGGGTCTCTATGCGAGTCTATGGGTCCCTGTGTAAGTCTATGGGCCTTTATGTGAGTCTATGGGTCTCTATGCGAGTCTATGGGTCCCTGTGTAAGTCTATGGGCCTGTATGTGAGTCTATGGGTCTCTATGCGAGTCTATGGGTCCCTGTGTAAGTCTATGGGCCTGTATGTGAGTCTATGGGTCTCTATGCGAGTCTATGGGTCCCTGTGTAAGTCTATGGGTCTGTATGTGAGTCTATGGGTCTCTATGCGAGTCTATGGGTCCCTGTGTAAGTCTATGGGCCTGTATGTGAGTCTATGGGTCTCTATGCGAGTCTATGGGTCCCTGTGTAAGTCTATGGGCCTGTATGTGAGTCTATGGGTCTCTATGCGAGTCTATGGGTCCCTGTGTAAGTCTATGGGCCTGTATGTGAGTCTATGGGTCTCTATGCGAGTCTATGGGTCCCTGTGTAAGTCTATGGGCCTGTATGTGAGTCTATGGGTCTCTATGCGAGTCTATGGGTCCCTGTGTAAGTCTATGGGCCTGTATGTGAGTCTATGGGTCTCTACGCGAGTCTATGGGTCCCTGTGTAAGTCTATGGGCCTGTATGTGAGTCTATGGGTCTCTATGCGAGTCTATGGGTCCCTGTGTAAGTCTATGGGCCTGTATGTGAGTCTATGGGTCTCTATGCGAGTCTATGGGTCCCTGTGTAAGTCTATGGGCCTGTATGTGAGTCTATGGGTCTCTATGCGAGTCTATGGGTCCCTGTGTAAGTCTATGGGCCTGTATGTGAGTCTATGGGTCTCTATGCGAGTCTATGGGTCCCTGTGTAAGTCTATGGGCCTGTATGTGAGTCTATGGGTCTCTATGCGAGTCTATGGGTCCCTGTGTAAGTCTATGGGCCCCTGTGTAAGTCTATGGGCCTGTATGTGAGTCTATGGGTCTCTATGCGAGTCTATGGGTCCCTGTGTAAGTCTATGGGCCTGTATGTGAGTCTAACCCAGGATCTCAGCGGTGCCAGCTAGGCATTGGCTAAGCGTCATTCTGGGCCGAACTCTTTGAACGTAACATCTTTGTCTCCTCTCCTCCCACCAACCCCTCCCTCTCCACTCAGGGTCCTGTCGGGAAGCCAGGGCTGCCCGGGTTCTCGGGATCTGACGGACCTCCCGTGAGTGGATTTCTACACCGCCCACCAGCATCGGCGTTGTCAAAAACCGCGGGCCGCGTAGCGGTGCCGCTGGCCACTTTCCATCGTTCACCTGTAGAAGTTCACGTATTCGCCAGATGTGTGTGTGTGTGAGAGTCTGTGGGTCTCTCTATGTGAAACAGTGAGTTCCTTTGCGAGTCTAAGGGGTCTCTATGTGAGTCTGTGGGTCTCTATGTTAATCCATGAGTTGCTTTGTGAGTCAAAGGGGCCTATATGTGAGTCTGTGGGTCTGTATGTGAATCCGTGAGTTGCTATGCGAGTCTAAGGGGTCTCTATGTGAGCCTGTGGGTCTCTATGTGAGTCTGAATTTCTATGCGAGTCTCTCAAAACTCACGTGACTCTTGTGTGGCCACCCCCACTCTGAACCCCTCCCCTCTCCATAACCCCGCCCACTCTGAGAACAGACACTGCCCGCTCCGTGCAGCTCACTGCTGCTGCTCACTCCTTCTCTCTTCCCTCCTCCCCTCTCATCATCATCATTATCACCCTCTAATCAGCCTCTCATGATGATCATCACCCTCTCATCATCACCTTCTCATCATCATCATGATCATCATCATCATCTTCTCATCATGATCATCATCATCATCACCCTCTCATCATCATCATCATCACCCTCTCATCACCAGCACTCTCTCATCAACCCTGACGTCTTGGCCCTGGTCATTCCCTCTCCCCCTCCTCCTCCCCTCCCTGCACCGACGCTCCCCCCTCTCTCCCCCTGCTGCTGCTCGATCTCTCCCCCTGCCCTCCCCCTCGTTGTCCGTCTGCGAGACTTCCGTCCCTTCCCTCTCCCACGCATCTAACTGCCCCCCCCCTGCTCCTCTCCGCCCCGTCTGCTGCCCTCTTGCTCAACCCGCTCCCGACTCCCCCGTGGTGGGCGCCGTGCCACAGGCGGCACCGTTTCTTGTTTGTGTTTAAACGATTCCTTCCGAAGTTCCACGCGGCCGCTGCCTCCGGCTCGGCTAGACGAGAAGCGCCGATCACAATCGACGACCCTCGCCGCCGCGGGGAGATCCCCGCTGGCGGCGCGTCACGCGGTGCGCGTCGTTGGGTGGCGCTCGATGAGCTCGTGAGCCTTCGATTTAAAGCTTTCGTGAGTGCAGGGATTCATCTTCTTGGTTCTTTCGGTAAAGTCACGTAGAATGGAAATAATAAAATAATAAAAATCAAACATAATAAAATAATTCTCACGACATTTCGGCCACAACGCAAGCAGCCGTCCTCAGGTGGAGAACAGGTCTGTCGAGAAGACAGCGTCTGAATTTCAGACTCTGCCTGTCGAGAAGACAGAGTCTGAATTTCAGTCTGAATTTTAGACTCTGTCTGTCTTCTCGACAGACCTGTTCTCCACCTGAGCACGGCTGCTTGCGTTGTGGCCGAAAAGTCGTGAGAATTATTTTATTATGTTTTATTTTTATTATTTTATTATTTCCATTCTACGTGACTTTACCGAAAGAACCAAGAAGACGAGCTCGTGAACGCTCGCCGCTGCTGGGGAAGACCGCGACGTCAACTCCCGCGTGGGAGAGCGGTGGCGGCGGTGGCGGCCGTTGGTTCGCTCGGCCCCCGCCTCGAAACCCGGCCGCCCCAGTTCGATTCCCGCTTCTTGACAATCGACAATGGCGGTTGCCAGGGGGGGCTCTATAGAGGTCGCCTCGGCCTCGAATGAGTAATCTGGTTTGCGGCGTGTAAACAATCGGCACTGGGGAGACAAAGGTTGCCGGGGTGGGGGGGGGGGAAGGCGTGGTGCTGGCAAAACACCTGCTGCTGTGCCCCCGTCGGTCTGTCGAAGGCTATGTGTTCGTGTCTGTGTCTGTGTGTGCGTGTCTGTGCGTGCGTGTCTGTGTGTGCGTGTCTGTGTGTGTGTGTCTGTGTGTGCGTGTCTGTGTGTGTGTGTGTGCGTGTCTGTGTGTGTGTGCGTGTCTGTGTGTGCGTGTCTGTGTGTGCGTGTCTGTGTGTGTGTGCGTGCCAGGGCCACCCTGGGAAAGAAGGACAGCCGGGCGAGAAGGGACAGCTGGTAAGGAAGGGGCGGCGTGCACATCTCCCATTAGCAGCCGCGATCCCAGTGGAGGAAATTCCACGTTCCTATGGCGCGGGGGAGTGTGCGGGTTGGGGTGGGGGGGTCAGGGCTATCCGTACGACAAGCGCCTGCTCGCTTGTGCGCAACCCATCAAGACGGCTCCCTCTTGCGTCGTCGCCGCTGCCGATCGGCCGTTCCTTGGCCCGTCCCGGGGAATACGAGTCGACCGTCCGTGCGTGCGGTCACGCACACGTGGGCTTGCTTCTCACCACGGATGAAACTTTTATTGTTTCCAAACCCGCAGTTCTCTGTCACCTCCACCTCCTTGGCTCTGTTACAAATCAACGCTATTCATATGCAAACGAAGTCACTTGAAGGGGAGTTAATTGGGAAACACCGCCGGCATACTCATTCCGCTTTGACCGCGACGGTTGCGACCAAGAGCACAGCGACAATAAAAAGGATGATCGTTGCCGGCCCTCCGCTGCGGTGACGCGTTCGCCCGCTCTTGTCTCGGAGGTTTTTTTGGCGGTTGTTCAAATCCGGCGGCCCCCCTGGTCAATACTGCGGCAATGTGCTCATAACCGTAGTAGTAGTCGTCGTAATAATCGCAATAATGCTACTTCGAGGTGGGTTCGTCACTCAGAGCGGACGCTAAAGAATGCGCACCGTGTCAACCCATACGGTTTACCCCGTATATTTGTACAGGGACATTTGAGTTTTCAGGTGCATATGTCGAACAGCCGTTTCAACACGGGCACAACAAATGTTTAGTCTATTTTGTTTGTGTTTCTACCTTGTGATCTTGGGACTCTGTAGGATGAACGTTGAGATTTATAAGAGGCACGGGGTGATCAAAAAGGTCTGAATTGGTCTGTTATAAGGTAGGCACTGATAAGGGGTTGACAGCTATGCATAAGGTAGGGAGGGCGTTGATGCTGTGACGTCATTCTCAAGAGGGGGGGCCCAACGTTGTGCCTGCATCAGGGACCACGCATGCCAATTTCGTAAATTTCTACAAACTAAACTATCCGCATTGTTTAGTTTACTTCACCAGGTTTCAGGGTCCACTTGAGCTGCGTAGCTCTTCTTTTCAGAAGCGACCTCATCGTCGTCGTCGTCGTCATTGTGTGGACATTTTCTAGCGGCAGCCAAATCCTCTAAACCAGTGGCTCTTATCCTTTACTGCAGGCTAGCACCCAATCGTTGAAATATTTGTAACGTTAATAAATACATCGGGTTTGAAGAAACAAAGTAAGTTGTGCTGAACGTTGCCCCGCGCTTAATTTGCGTCTTCGATGATTTACCTTCTAAAAACAAAATATGGCCACGTCTAGAAAGGGCATCTTGCAACCTCAGGGGGTGCAGCGTTCACCTCCAGCTTAAGAAGAACCACTGCTCTCAACGCACATCGATTCTAAATGCGGAGGGAAAACCCTTAAGGACCTGGAGAAAAGGCCACGCGACCACGGGGGTCGGGGTCGAACCCACGACCTCCTGCGTACCAGGCGAGGGAGTTAACATCTCCTAGCCACCGCGGCGAGATGTTAGAACCGCACCGCAGATCGCGACTCGATGGGGATTCCGTGCCCTGGCAGACGAATGCGTTCGAGTTCTAATCCTGGCCCCTGCGACTCTCCTGCCCGGTTAGACAAAAATAACGTTTCTAAAATTGCAACTCGAGAAACTCCGTACGATTGCGTCAACCTCGCAGAGAGAGGGAGGGCTCCCTCAATGGACTGGCCTGCCCGTCTCACTCATGCTGCTCCGTGTGCCGTGTGCGTCTCTGTCGACAGGGCCCTTTGGGTCCCCAGGGCCCCGTGGGTTACCCGGGTCCACGTGGCGTGAAGGTACGTTTGTTTAAACGCACGTGCGCGCGCACACAAACACGGACGCCGCCGCCGTCGCCGCCGGCCGAGACGGTGGCTAGCGATCTCGTGATCCAGAGGTCGCCGGTTCGATCCCATCGCCTTGGCAGCCGAAACGATGGAGCATGTGTTTTTTTTATATATTTCATATTCAGGAATATTTACGTGTGTGTGTGGTGATCTTCGTTGGCACAGTAGATGGTAAATGTTGTGGATTTGCACTCCAACACACCGGTGTGTTGGAGAGCAAATCCATAGATGGCAAACGTTGTGGATTTGCTCTCCAACACACGGGTGTGTTGGAGAGCAAATCCATAGATGGCAAACGTTGTGGATTTGCACACTAGCACACATTTTGTTTACGTGACAAACATTACTAATTGGCTGCGTCGGGTGGGGGCAGTTTTAGCGACACATTTATATATTAACGAGGTCTAACCCAAAACAAAGCCTCTATTATGGATGATATTGGTCGCGAAAGCCCGCCACGTGCTAAACTAAACTCAAAAATCCGTCCTCTATGCCTTCTTCCCAAACCTGTCTCTCCACGTAAAAAAACAACAAATTTTTTTTGTAAACATCCCATGGGCCACACGACCCCGCCGATGCTTGGGAGTGCATCTCTTCGGCCGCGGTGGCTCCAACGCGAGCAAAACTCGGCAGCGGTTTCGCCGCACGGAGTCTCCCATGGGCAGGCTCGCGTTCGCTCGAAGCAATCCAGGCGAGCTGCCCAAGATGTTCGTTGGCGAAGCACCCCAATCTCAAGCCTCAACGAGTGCCCGGCGTGGCGTGTCATGCGTCGGCACTGGGGGAGACAAAGGCGGCCAGGGCGCAGTTACTGGCCGCACCCGCCCCCTTGCGTTGCCGCTCGCTAACACGCACTTGCCCCAACAGCTTGTTAGAGGCTACACGGGGCACATTTGTCTCTGTACGTGCCAGCATTAATAGGTGCTGGGACTCGCGGACAGCACTTGCCCCAGCAGCCTGTTAGAGGCTATATCAGGCACTTTTGTCTTTGTACGCACCAGCATTGATAGGTTCTGCGACCCGCTAACAGCACTTGCCCCAACAGCCTGTTAGAGGCTATATCAGGCACTTTTGTCTTTGTACGCGCCAGCATTGATAGGTGCTGGGACTCGCGGACAGCACTTGCCCCAGTAGCCTGTTAGAGGCTATATCAGGCACTTTTGTCTTTGTACGCGCCAGCATTGATAGGTGCTGGGACTCGCTAACAGCACTTGCCCCAGCAGCCTGTTAGAGGCTATATCAGGCACTTTTGTCTTTGTACGCACCAGCATTGATAGGTTCTGCGACCCGCTAACAGCACTTGCCCCAGCAGCCTGTTAGAGGCTATATCAGGCACTTTTGTCTTTGTACGCGCCAGCATTGATAGGTGCTGGGACTCGCGGACAGCACTTGCCCCAGTAGCCTGTTAGAGGCTATTTCAGTCACTTTTGTCTTTGTACGCGCCAGCATTGATAGGTGCTGGGACTCGCTAACAGCACTTGCCCCAGCAGCCTGTTAGAGGCTATATCAGGCACTTTTGTCTTTGTACGCACCAGCATTGATAGGTTCTGCGACCCGCTAACAGCACTTGCCCCAACAGCCTGCCAGAGGCTATATCAGGCGCTTTTGTCTTTGTACACGCCAGCATTGATAGGTTCTGCGACCCGCTAACAGCACTTGCCCCAACAGCCTGCCAGAGGCTATATCAGGCACTTTTGTCTTTGTACGCTCCAGCATTGATAGGTTCTGCGACCCGCTAACAGCACTTGCCCCAACAGCCTGCCAGAGGCTATATCAGGCGCTTTTGTCTTTGTACACGCCAGCATTGATAGGTTCTGCGACCCGCTAACAGCACTTGCCCCAACAGCCTGCCAGAGGCTATATCAGGCACTTTTGTCTTTGTACGCTCCAGCATTGATAGGTTTTTCGACTCGCTAACAGCACTTGCCCCAACAGCCTGTTAGAGGCTATATCAGGCACTTTTGTCTTTGTACGCGCCAGCATTGATAGGTTCTGCGACCCGCTAACAGCACTTGCCCCAACAGCCTGCCAGAGGCTACGCGCGCGGGAGAGAGAGAGGTGGGGGCGAATCTTCACCTCCCGCTCTGTGCGCGTGTGCGTGGCGTGTTTTGTATTTTCCTTTTGATGTTGCTCTCCGCTCTCCCGCAGGGGGCGGAAGGAGCGCGCGGGATGAAGGGCGACAAGGGAGACAAGGTACCCCCCCCCCTACCCCCCCCCCCCCAGGGGGGGGCCTCCTGCTCCCACACTCGCAGATCGCAGATCGCAGATCACCATCCCCCAATGCGGCGTCGCCGCGACGGAGGTAGCTGCGGCAGCCGCCGTAGCGAGCGGCGCATTACCCCCCCCCCGCCCCCCCCCCCTGAGTATCAGTCTGTGGGTCTTCCTCCTAGTCTGTGGGTGTCTGCGTATGTCTGTCCTGCGGGACGTGTCTCCACGAGACTCGCGTGGGCACCGCCCGTAGACTCGCGTTAGCTGAGTTGTGGTGAAGCCAGGGTCTGTCAGTGCGAGTTTATCGGTCCCTGCCTGAGTCTATGGGTCTCTATGTGAGTCTATCGGTCCCTGCCTGAGTCTATGGGTCTCTATGTGAGTCTATCGGTCCCTGCCTGAGTCTATGGGTCTTTATGTGAGTCTATCGGTCCCTGCCTGAGTCTATGGGTCTGTATGTGAGTCTATGGGTCTCTATGTGAGTCTATGGGTCCCTGCCTGAGTCTATGGGTCTCTATGTGAGTCTATGGGTCTCTGTGTGAGTCTATCGGTCCCTGCCTGAGTCTATGGGTCTGTATGTGAGTCTATGGGTCTCTGTGTGAGTCTATCGGTCCCTGCCTGAGTCTATGGGTCTCTATGCGAGTCTATGGGTCTCTGTGTGAGTCTATGGGTCTCTGTGTGAGTCTATCGGTCCCTGTCTGAGTCTATGGGTCTCTATGTGAGTCTATGGCTCTCTGTGTGAGTCTATCGGTCCCTGCCTGAGTCTATGGGTCTGTATGTGAGTCTATGGGTCTCTATGTGAGTCTATCGGTCCCTGCCTGAGTCTATGGGTCTGTATGTGAGTCTATGGGTCTCTGTGTGAGTCTTTCGGTCCCTGCCTGAGTCTATGGGTCTCTATGTGAGTCTATGGGTCTCTGTGTGAGTCTATCGGTCCCTGCCTGAGTCTATGGGTCTCTATGTGAGTCTATGGGTCTCTGTGTGAGTCTATCGGTCCCTGCCTGAGTCTATGGGTCTGTATGTGAGTCTATGGGTCTCTGTGTGAGTCTATCGGTCCCTGCCTGAGTCTATGGGTCTCTATGCGAGTCTATGGATCTCTGTGTGAGTCTATGGGTCTCTATGCGAGTCTATGGATCTCTGTGTGAGTCTATGGGTCTCTATGCGAGTCTATGGGTCTCTATGCGAGTCTATGGGTCTCTATGCGAGTCTATGGGTCTCTATGCGAGTCTATGGGTCTCTATGCGAGTCTATGGGTCTCTATGCGAGTCTATGGGTCTCTTTGCGAGTCTATGGGTCTCTATGCGAGTCTATGGATCTCTGTGTGAGTCTATGGGTCTCTATGCGAGTCTATGGGTCTCTATGCGAGTCTATGGGTCTCTATGCGAGTCTATGGGTCTCTATGCGAGTCTATGGGTCTCTATGCGAGTCTATGGGTCTCTATGCGAGTCTATGGGTCTCTATGCGAGTCTATGGATCTCTGTGTGAGTCTATCGGTCCCTGCCTGAGTCTATGGGTCTCTATGCGAGTCTATGGGTCTCTGTGTGAGTCTATCGGTCCCTGCCTGAGTCTATGGGTCTCTATGCGAGTATATGGGTCTCTATGTGAGTCTATGGGGTCTCTATGCGAGTCTATGGATCTCTATGCGAGTTTATGGGTCTCTATGCGAGTCTATGGGTCTCTGTGCGAGTCTATGGATCTCTATGGATCTCTATGTGAGTCCTTGTCTCTGTGCGAGTCAATGGATCTCTATGTGAGTCTTCGGTCTCTGTGCGAGTCTATGGCTCGCTATGCGACTCTATGGATCTCTATGTGAGTCTTCGGTCTCTGTGCGAGTCTATGGGTCTCTATGTGAGTCTATGGATCTCTATGTGAGTCTGGGTCCCTGCCTGAGTCTATGGGTCTCTATGTGAGTCTATGGGTCTCTGTGTGAGTCTATCGGTCCCTGCCTGAGTCTATGGGTCTCTATGTGAGTCTATGGGTCTCTATGTGAGTCTATGGGTCTCTGTCTGAGTCTATGGGTCTCTATGCGAGTCTATGGGTCTCTGTGTGAGTCTATCGGTCCCTGTCTGAGTCTATGGGTCTCTATGCGAGTCTATGGATCTCTATGCGAGTCTATGGGTCTCTGTGCGAGTCTATAGATCTCTATGGATCTCTATGTGAGTCCTTGTCTCTGTGCGAGTCTATGGATCTCTATGTGAGTCTTCGGTCTCTGTGCGAGTCTATGGATCGCTATGCGACTCTATGGATCTCTATGTGAGTCTGGGTCTCTGTGTGAGTCACTGGTGACCGGGCGGTTTCACCGCAGGAGACCCGGAATCGAATCCAGGCTCTGAGCGGTGGCCGGCTCCGTGTCTCGGATCTCCGAGCCACCTGTCATCTTGAATCTCAATGAGGCCTTTTCAGAATGGAACAAATCGTTTTGGCGACGCCGCCGCTGCTGCTGCTGCTTGCTGCTGCTGCGTTGGCAGTGGAGCACAAACAACAACAACAGCGACAAGTCAACACGTTCGTCAATAGGCACCGTGTGGCTCTATAAATAAACGTGTTTAATGGGTGATGTTGCGGCTGTTCTCGAAAGCTAAAAGCGTCAACAAAAATACAAATCGAGATCTACTTTCATTTATCAATCTAGATTTGAAGGCCGTGGCGGGGTAGCGCACGAGGGTCGATGGGTGTCAGCGGAAGATTGTTGAGGGGTCAGCTCCATTGGGGGCCTGGGTGGGCGAGAACCCCCCTCCACACCTCCACCCCCCCGCCACTTGCTGAGCCAGGAGCAGCTTTTGTTTTAATCCCACATCCTCCCTCGTTCCGTACGTCGCAGCGTGCTGACGTGTCGGACGGCGTGACCGCTACCAGTTGCATCGACGGTATGGGGCACTCCGAACGTACAAAATCAGTAGGGGATCAAATACTTTTTTTCCCTCACTGTAGGTGCTGCTCGCTAACAGCACTTGCCCCAACAGTCTGTGACAGGCTACACGGGGGACCTTTGTGTGGGTTGCGTGTCTGAGTGTACACTGCTGCGTTCCCCTAAACAAACCAGCAATGATATCCCTCAGCACCCCCCCACCCCCCCCCTGCATTTCACTCCGCTGTAATTCATATTTCAAGTCTCGTGCCCGTTACGTTATTCTCTTTTAGACCGTCACGACGTGAGATGCATTATTTATAACCCTTAAAAAATATATATATAAACTTCACCGCTTGGATTTTGTCTTTTTTTTCCCCCCGTTTCCAAAGGGAGAAGATGGTTTCCCCGGATTTAAAGGTGACATGGGTCTTAAAGGCGACAAGGTGAGATGCCACATTTAACATTCACCCGCGCGTCAGCCGGCCTCCTTATTTATTTACTTCATGTGTCTTCCATTATTTATTTCGTGGTGTGTGGCGTGTGTGTGTGGCGTGTGTGTGTGGCGTGTGTGTGTGTGTGTGGCGTGTGTGTGTGTGGCGTGTGTGTGTGTGGCATATGTGTGGCGAGTGTGTGTGGCCTGTGTGTGTGTGTGGCGTGTGTGTGTGGCGTGTGTGTGGTGTGTGTGGTGTGTGTGTGTGGCATGTGTGTGGGGTGTGTGTGTGTGGCGTGTGTGCGTGTGTGGTGTGTGTGTGTGGTGTGTGTGTGTGATGTGTGTGTGTGGCGTGTGTGTGGCGTGTGTGTGGCGTGTGTGTGGTGTGTGTGTGTGGCGTGTGTGTGTGTGGTGCGTGTAGCGCGTGTGTGTGGCCTGTGTGTGTGTGTGGCATGTGTGTGTGGCGTGTGTGTGGTGTGTGTTGTGTGTGTGTGTGTGGCATGTGTGGGGTGTGTGTGTGTGTGGCGTGTGTGCGTGTGTGGTGTGTGTGTGTGGTGTGTGTGATGTGTGTATGTGGCGTGTGTGTGTGGCGTGTGTGTGGCGTGTGTGGCGTGTGTGTGGTGTGTGTGTGTGGTGTGTGTGTAGCGCGTGTGTGTGTGGCGTGTGTGTGTGTGGTGTGTGTGTGGCGTGTGTGTGTGGCGTGTGTGTGTGGCGTGTGTGTGTGTGTGGCGTGTGTGTGTGGTGTGTGTGTGGTGTGTGTGTGTGTGTGGCGTGTGTGTGTGTGTGTGTGGCGTGTGTGTGTGGTGTGTGTGTGTAGCACGTGTATTCTTTTTTTAAGGCCCTCGGGCTCAGTAGTGACAGCGAGAGAGAGAAATATGCAGAGGAGAGAAGAGAGACAGATGACAATACAATGATAAGTCCTCGCCGCCATCGCTTCCCACCGTGCGCTGTGTTTGAGAAACTACTGGCACAGTGACAGATGGACGTAACGGATCTGTATGGTTATCAACCTATTCGTTTATAGATATATCGATGGACAGACACATAGAGCCGGGTACGTTGACGGTACCAGCGTTTTGGTAGCACCGCGTGCCTCGTGAGCCGGAATTACGGGCCCCACTCACGCCGGCCTTGAAGGTTCTTGTCAGACCCCAGGCACTTGGGCTTCGTAGGCCCTCGGTGGTGACTTTCCAACAGTTGTCACTGCTGCTGCCTCCACGTCGCTACTGCTCCCGCGAAGTTACCGATGCGTCCGTCGTTTTAGTCCGCACCCTCGTCCGATGGGAGCGAGCCGTGTGCCGCAGGCAACATTGACATGACTCTGCCTCTTTGCACGTAGGCTGTTGCGACTTTCCTTTGCTCCGTATGGACACACGTATTTACTCAAGAAGATATCTTGGTTGAATAACAAAAATGCCGTACCAACAACGCAGAAAACGCGGTCACATGTTTTTCGTAGGCGCTTTAGTTTCCTGAGGCCCTAGGCACAGTGCCTACTCTGGCCTATTGGATAGGACAGACATGGTGAGTGAGTGAGTGGGTGGGTGAGCGGGTGAATAAGTGAGTGAGTGGCTGTGTGAGTGGGTGGGTGAGCGGGTGAATAAGTGAGTGAGTGGCTGTGTGAGTGGGTGGGTGAGCGGGTGAATAAGTGAGTGAGTGGCTGGGTGACTGGATGGCTGGGTGAGTGAGTGAGTGGGTAAGTGAATGGATGGCTGGGTGAGTGAGTGGGTAAGTGAATGGGTGGTTGGGTGAGTGGGTGGCTGGGTGAGTGAGTGAGTGGGTAAGTGAATGGGTGGCTGGGTGAGTGAGTGGGTAAGTGAGTGGGTGGCTGGGTGAGTGAGTGGGTAAGTGAATGGGTGGTTGGGTGAGTGGGTGGCTGGGTGAGTGAGTGAGTGGGTAAGTGAATGGGTGGCTGGGTGAGTGGGTGAGCGAGTGGGTAATTGAATGGGTGGCTGGGTGAGTGGATGACTGGGTGGGTAAGTGAATGGGTGGCTGGGTGAGTGGGTGGCTGGGTGAGTGAGTGGGTAATTGAATAGGTGGCTGGGTGAGTGGGTGGGTAAGTGAATGGGTGGCTGGGTGAGTGGGTGGCTGGGTGAGTGAGTGGGTAATTGAATAGGTGGCTGGGTGAGTGGGTGGGTAAGTGAATGGGTGGCTGGGTGAGTGGGTGGCTGGGTGAGTGAGTGGGTAATTGAATAGGTGGCTGGGTGAGTGGGTGGGTAAGTGAATGGGTGGCTGGGTGAGTGAGTGGGTAAGTGAATGGGTGGTTGGGTGAGTGGGTGGCTGGGTGAGTGAGTGAGTGGGTAAGTGAATGGGTGGCTGGGTGAGTGAGTGGGTAAGTGAATGGGTGGTTGGGTGAGTGGGTGGCTGGGTGAGTGAGTGAGTGGGTAAGTGAATGGGTGGCTGGGTGAGTGGGTGAGCGAGTGGGTAATTGAATGGGTGGCTGGGTGAGTGGATGACTGGGTGGGTAAGTGAATGGGTGGCTGGGTGAGTGGGTGGCTGGGTGAGTGAGTGGGTAATTGAATGGGTGGCTGGGTGAGTGGGTGGGTAAGTGAATGGGTGGCTGGGTGAGTGGGTGGCTGGGTGAGTGAGTGGGTAATTGAATGGGTGGCTGGGTGAGTGGGTGGGTGAATGGGTGGGTGGGTAGGTGGATGAGTGGGTGGGTGGGTGAGTGGGTGGATGAGTGGGTGGGTGAGTGGGCGGCTGGGTGAGTGAGTGGGTAATTGAATGGGTGGCTGGGTGAGTGGGTGGGTGAATGGGTGGGTGGGTAGGTGGATGAGTGGGTGGGTGGGTGAGTGGGTGGATGAGTGGGTGGGTGAGTGGGCGGCTGGGTGAGTGAGTGGGTAATTGAATGGGTGGCTGGGTGAGTGGGTGGGTAAGTGAATGGGTGGCTGGGTGAGTGGGTGGCTGGGTGAGTGAGTGGGTAATTGAATGGGTGGCTGCGTGCGTGGGTGAGTAAGTGGGTAAGTGAGTGGGTAAGTGAATGGGTGAGTGGGTGCGTGGGTGAGTGAGTGGGTAAGTGAATGGGTGAGTGGGTGCGTGGGTGAGTGAGTGGGTAAGTGAATGGGTGGCTGGGTGAGTGGGTGGCTGGGTGAGTGGGTGTGTAAGTGAATGGGTGGCTGAGTGAGTGGGTGCGTGGGTGAGTGAGTGGGTAAGTGAATGGGTGGCTGGGTGAGTGAGTGGCTGGGTGAGTTGGTGTGTAAGTGAATGGGTGGCTGAGTGAGTGGGTGCGTGGGTGAGTAAGTGGGTAAGTGATTGGGTGGCTGGGTGAGTGAGTGGCTGGGTGAGTTGGTGTGTAAGTGAATGGGTGGCTGAGTGAGTGGGTGCGTGGGTGACTAAGTGATTGGGTAGCTGGGTGAGTCGGTGTCTGAGTAGGCCCCTCGGCACAGTGTCTACTGTGGCCTATTGGATAATGAGGCCCTGGCCACAGTTCGTATCCTGACCCAGGTGCTTCACTCTGCAGAGGTCTGTCTCTTTGTCCCCCCCCCCACCCCTCTTCTGCGTGGGTTTCCTCCTCCTGCCACAACATCAGCACCAACAATGTTGAACCTGGTATTGGCCAAATTATCACAAATGCTGAAACATTAACTTGCAAATTACTCAATTGGCACAGCAGCAGCAGCAGCAGCTTCACCACTTTCTGAGAAAACTGGCCAGGACCTTTCCTGGGTAAACAATCATCATCGTAATAATGATGATGATAATCTGTTGTTTATTTACGTATTATTTTCTTCCTGATGGGAAGCATTTTGAGAACACAAGTTTCTCTGTAAATGCAACTCAAAATGAATAATTTATAGCGTCGCTGCGGACAATATAAATAGCTATTATAAAATAAATAAATATAAAAGCAGACGATATATTTCCTTAGCTTCCGTAATACAGCTTTTTTTTGGGTTAGATCGCGTAAATATCCGCCAGCACCCGGCTCAGCCAATCGGTGTGAGGTTCGTGTCCCGTAAACGAAACGTGGCCAATTCGTGACTAGTTCAGCTCACACCGCTTGTGTGTTGGAGAGTTAAACCCCACTAGAACACTCACAATTCCAGCGCTTGCAGGGTGAGATTACCCCACGGCCTTCTGAGACTGATTACTGTTCAGCGTCGCCGACTCGGCACGAGCATCCTCTGAACCGGTTTCGACACGGAGTGTCTCATCAGTGGAGTCGGGCTCACTTGAATCAGTGCTGGTCAAACAAAAATTTGAATCATCTGCCCCGGTGTTCGGAATAAGAATGCATTATTCATACTGGAGGAATCCAATGGGCTCTAAAGCGCCTTATTGTTGTCACAGATGTCAGAAACTTACAACAACAGCCAACACAAGTGCGCGATGGGAGTGCAGAGGATAGGCGAGGAGTCTCTGTGTTAGATAGGCGTCTTGGTTTGTCGCAAAATGATACAATATCTAAAATAGTCATTAATTAATAATTTTAAATAACAAAGTTATTTTAAGCTGGAGCAGTAGTGTTGTGGTCTGCGCACTGCACTGTCCTCTTCATCAGCTGGGTTCCATTCCCCATCAGGGCGAGCATCAGTGGCGAGCAAAATCAGAATCGATCCGACCCCACGCCCCATCCAATTCCTTGCCCCTTCACTAAACCCAGGGTGACCAGGATGGTGAAGTATGGACTTCATCCACCAGTGGATTGACAGAAGGCTAATCATCTCGAATGATCATGACGATGACGACGATGATTACGAATCAACCGAACCTGTGATGATGGGCCATGACGAGCGCAGTGTTGATCAACAATTCACGAATTCGGCTCGTGATGAGGATGACGATTGTGAATAATGCACTCGATAATCTGCGACGATGACAATGATGACATCAATGATGACACTTGATGATGATGAAATAGTAAGGATGACGATGATGCAGTATTATAATACGATGATGATGACAATGGTAAAGTCAATGATGACGGTGATGATGACAATAGTACAGTGACGATGATGATGGTGATGATAATGATGATGACGACGACGGCTATTTTGGGGTCTCCGCACTCAGGGTGAGAGTGGGCCCTTCGGACCGAGAGGAGAAGATGGCCCCGAAGGCCCCAAGGGCCGCACGGGCCCTCCCGGCGACCCAGGCCCCAACGGCCCCGCCGGAGAGAAGGTACGACGGTCAAGCGCTGGCTCACCCTCCCCGATCCGGTGAAACCAGGACAGGGTTTGACATCAATGCCAGCAGTGTCCTGGTTTCACCACGACCGTGGCAGTCAAATGTGCATTTGAATCGTGCGGCAACATTGAGGCTCGCTTAACGGAGCGCTTGCCAGCTTGGCTGATGTTTCACTTAACCCCCCCCCCCCCCCCCTCCTGCCCGCCCGTGTCTGCAGGGGAAGCTGGGAGCTCCTGGCCTGTCTGGATACCCGGGGCGGTTGGGACCCAAGGTGAGAGGGCGCAGGCGAGCTTGCGGGTGTTGCCACCTGTCCTGGATTTACCAGGATTGTCATCATCGCGACCGCCACCGCCATCATCATGAGCATCATCACCACCGCCATCATCATGAGCATCATCACCACCGCCATCATCATCACTACCGTCATCACCATCAATACCGCCATCATCATCACCACCACCATGATCATCATCACCACCGCCATTATTATCACCACCGCCACCATCACCACCACCATCATTATCATTACCATCATCATCACCACCGCTACCATCACCACCATCATCATCATCACCACCACCGCCATCATTATCATCACCACCATCATCATCACCACCGACACCATCACCACTGCCATCATTAACACCACCACCACCACCATCATCATCACCACCGACACCATCACCACCATCATCATCATCACCACGGCCATCATCACCACCACCACCACCATCATCATCACCACCATCACCATCATCATCACCATCACCACCATCACCACCACCACCACCATCACCACCACCACCACCACCATCACCACCACCACCATCACCACCACCACCACCATCACCACCACCATCACCACCACCATCACCACCACCATCACCACCACCACCACCACCACCATCACCATCACCACCACCACCATCACCATCACCACCACCACCACCACCACCATCACCACCACCACCACCACCACCATCACCATCACCACCACCACCACCATCACCATCACCACCACCATCACCACCACCATCACCACCACCACCACCATCACCACCATCACCACCACCACCACCATCACCACCACCACCACCACCACCATCACCACCATCACCATCACCACCACCACCACCACCACTGTTTTCCCCCCACACCCTCTTCACCGCCCCGCACCGACAAGCGGCAGACAAGAATGGTGACAGTGACATTCCTGACGTAACGTGACGAGGGAGGACCCCCCCCCCCCCCCCCTTATCCAGCAGTGGATGGGCAGGGTGCCTTAAACGGTTCACTAAATTCCATTACATAGAGAGAGAGAGGGGGAGATCATTCATCGTGTTTGACCAACGGTGAACATTTTATTCTATTGCCAGAGGGTTAAGAGACGAAAAACACGCACGGAATATATATATGTAAATCTTTCGGGCGGTTATCCCGGAAAAATTGAATAAATAAATGTTTTATTTATACGGCTAAACGTGCTTAGAGGAACGTGAAATTGAAGCCATCTGTCTTGCGCGGAGCAAATCAGTCGCAAATGTGCTTACGGCGCGCGAGGAGGAGGAAGTCTCATTGAGGTTGAAATCTCTCATTCTGCGCTCTCTCATGCCGCGCTCTCTCTCGCGGGGCACGCTGGGCACTGGGGAACCACGGAATCAAGCGAGGCATCGGCCGCTTGATTCCCTTGATTCCAGAGCGCCGTCGTTCGTTGAAAAGGCGGCGATTGAAACTCGCGCTCGCTCGCTCGCTCACTCGCTGAACGAGCGAGAGAGACGACGTCGTTGGAACTGGTCGGGAAATCTGCGCGCGATTCCGTCGGGAGCCACCGCTCGCGAGAAAGAAAAATAACCTGGGGGGGGGGGGGGGGGGGGTCAGCGACGGGGCTTGTAACGAGAGCAGAGGACACCCACCCCACCCCGAGCTGACACGGGTGAGAGCGGGAAATGAACGGCGCGGGGAGAGCAGCGCTCCCGTACTTTGAACCAGCCATGCCTGCGTCTCTTTGCCGTCGATAGTTTAATTTGCCACTCGCCCGCCCGTCCGTGGCGACGGCACCCGCAGCATTTCGAGTCGCCCGCTTGGGGGCATCTCCGCTGGACGAGGGGCGGAGATGCCGGGAATCACGGCATCCCACCACCACCACCACGGCCCACCACCGCCACCACCACCCCACCACCGCCACCCCACCACCACGGCCCACCACCACCGCCACCCCACCACCACGGCCCACTACCGCCGCCACCCCACCACCACGGCCCACCACCACCGCCACCCCACCACCACGGCCCACTACCGCCGCCACCCCACCACCACGGCCCACCACCGCCACCACCACCCCACCACCGCCACCCCACCACCACGGCCCACCACCACCGCCACCCCACCACCACGGCCCACCACCACCGCCACCCCACCACCACGGCCCACTACCGCCGCCACCCCACCACCACGGCCCACCACCGCCACCACCACCCCACCACCGCCACCCCACCACCACGGCCCACCACCACCGCCACCCCACCACCACGGCCCACCACCACCGCCACCCCACCACCACGGCCCACCACCACCACCGCCACCACCCCGCCACCCCACCACCACGGCCCACCACCACGGCCCACCACCACCCCGCCACCCCACCACCGCCACCCCACCACCGCCACCACGGCCCACTACCACCACCACGGCCCACCACCACCACCACCGGCACCTCACCACCGCCGCTGCCGGCAGCTGCTGGTGGCGGAACTGCGGCAGTAAACCACAAGGGGGTGCGGGCGAGGGGGTGGGGGGATAGCGCGGTTTTCGTAAAACAAAAAATCAACGAGCTTTCGTTAATAACACCGTTGCACGGATGCGTGGGGAGCGGTGGTGCAGCGGTTAGCGCGCCACGCTACGAACCCGGCGAGCCGAGTTTGATTCCCGCTCGCGGTCTACGCCGGTGGCGATTATCTGAACCGGTTCTAGGTCCTCCCCCCGAGGTCAATGTGTAGCAAGCATCGCCGCTCGGGGAGACAAAGGCGGCCGGGCGTGGCGCTGGCCCACCCGCCCCCTTCGTGTGCCTTGCCGGCCGTCATAGGTGCTGCTCGCTAACAGCACTTGCCCCAACAGTCCGCTGAAGGCTACACGGGGGATCTTTGTCTTTGCGTGCAGGCTGAGATGACTGGCATCTGCCAGATGGGGGTGTGGGCGCTCATCCAGCAGTAGATTTATCATGGCCGATGATGACGATGACGACGACGATATTGGCAAAGCAGTGCCGAACGATTTTTCAATGCAGGGCCAAGGCACTTTCCCCTCCGGGTTGTCCTATTGATAATTATTTTCACTTCTTCATGTAAATCCATTCCCCCACCACGTAAGTAACACAAGCTCCAATTAGCGCTACGTGGGTGGGGGGGGGGGTTGCCGTGACCCCTTCATGACAGAGGAACTGTGAATTACCGTTACCATCATCACCATCATCACCATCATCACCATCATCATCACCATCATCACCATCATCATCACCATCATCACCATCATCATCACCATCATCATCACCATCATCACCACCATCATCACCATCATCATCACCATTATCACCATCATCATCACCACCATCATCACCATCATCACCATCATCATCACCATCATCATCACCATTATCACCATCATCATCACCATCATCATCGCGGACGCATCTCCCAAAGCGAAAAGGTGCGCTGGGCCGACGGGAGATCCCGGCGCGGGAATCTGAAACGTCGGGACACCGTGCAGAACGATGCGCCACTCACCTACTCACACTCACCTGCTCACACTCACCTACTGACACTCACCTGCTCATACTCACCTGCTCACACTCACCTACTGACACTCACCTGCTCATACTCACCTGCTCACACTCACCTACTGACACTCACCTACTCACACTCACCTGCTCACACTCACCTACTCATACTCACCTGCTCACACTCACCTACTCACACTCACCTGCTCACACTCACCTACTGACACTCACCTGCTGACACTCACCTGCTCACACTCACCTGCTCACACTCACCTGTGCACTGTCGTTGCTGCTGCAGGGATCTTTGGGGCTCATCGGTTTGGCCGGAGCTCAAGGAGAGAAAGGAACCCGGGTGAGTCGCCCCCCCCCCTCGCCCCCCACCCTTTACTCCCCCTCGCCCCCCCCCTCGCTCCCCCCTCGCCCTCCTCCCGGATCCCTCCTCGCTCCCCCCTCGCCCCCCCCCCACGTTCTCCCCTCGACGGTGTGGGGGGCCCTAAAAGTGTGGGGGGGGGGGGGCATCTCTGGCCTGGGTGGCCATGAGCATCGCACTTTCATCCGCTTGTGGCTGTGCGACGCTGCCGGCTGATGGTGATGGTGATGATGGTGATGATGATGGTGATGATGGTGATGTTGGTGGTGATGATGGTGGTGATGGTGATGATGATGGTGATGAAGGTGGTGATGATGGTGATGATGGTGGTGATGGTGATGATGGTGATGATGGTGGTGATGATGATGATGGTGATGATGATGGTGATGATGGTGATGTTGGTGGTGATGATGGTGGTGATGATGATGATGGTGATGATGATGGTGATGATGATGGTGATGATGATGGTGATGATGGTGGTGATGATGGTGGTGATGATAATGTTGATGATGGTGGTAATGATGTTGGTGATGATGATGGTGATGATGATGGTGATGATGATGGTGATGATAATGATGATGGTGATGATGGTGATGATGATGATGATGATGTTGATGATGGTGGTGATGATGATGATGATGATGATAATAGTGATGATGGTGATGATGATAGTGATGATGATGATGGTGATGATGATGGTGATGTTGGTGGTGATGATGGTGGTGATGATGGTGATGGTGATGATGATGGTGATGATGATGGTGATGATAATGATGATGGTGATGATGGTGATGATGGTGATGAGTGTGAGATGGAATGAAGTCTCTTTAAATATGCATGTAAGCAGCAAAGCATGTCCCACCTCTCCTCCTCTTCCTCTTAACAAATAAAATATATTCCTATCCTCTTAGCCCAGCGGCTATTTTACACATCACACGAGTGCATCTCTCCAATTCACAGTGGCCGGGGTGGGGGGGTAGAGGGCGGGGAGGGGGCTCGATTCGTGGAAGCAGTAGCAAGACTTGCTTGGGGATAATGTAAAATGCGATCGAGATGCCTGGGAAGGGAATGAATTGCAGGACCGGCGAATGTGTCTCTGTGTGAGTCTCTGGGTCTCTGTGTGAGTCTGTGTTAGTCTATGTGTGAGTCTATGGGTCTCTATGTTAGTCTATGGGTCTCTGTGTGAGTCTCTGGGTCTCTGTGTGAGTCTATGGGTCTCTGTGTGAGTCTATGGGTCTCTGTGTTAGTCTATGGGTCTCTGTGTGAGTCTCTGGGTCTCTGTGTGAATCTGCGTTAGTCTATGTGTGAGTCTATGGGTCTCTGTGTTAGTCTATGGGTCTCTGTGCGAGTCTGTCTTAGTCTATGTGTGAGTCTATAGGGACTCTGTGTCGTGAGTCTATGGGTCTCTGTGTGAGTCTACGGGTCTCTGTGTGAGTTTATGGGTGTCTGTGTGAGTCTATGGGTCTCTGTGTGAGTCTCTGGGTCTCTGTGTGAGTCTATGGGTCTCCGTGCGATTCTATGGGTCTCTGTGTTAGTCTATCGGTCTCTGTATGAGTCTATGGGTTTCTATGTTAGTCTACGTGTCTCTTTATGAGTCTATGGGTCTTTGTGTGAGTCTATGGGTCTCCGTACGAGTCTGTGTTTCTGTGTGAGGCTATGGGTCTCTGTGTTAGTCTGTGTCTCTATGCTAGTCTACGTGTCTCTTTGTGAGTCTACGTGTCTCTATGTTAGTCTATGGGTCTCTGCGTGAGTCTATGGGTCATTGGTGACCAGGCTGAGACCACCAACTCACCGCACTGGAGCCCGGAGTGGGACGCTCCTTGAGCCACGTGGACTCCAACCTCTGCAGCGATGCGTTTAAGGAAGCGCACACGTCCCTGCCTTTGTCTTTCTTTCTCGATTGGTCGTTATTCACGACGCGCAATTTTCCCCTCGATTTATGCTCAACAAAGGGCGTCATCACTCGGGTTTCGTTATCTCACAATTGCAGCCTCCGTAATTTCGCCGCGTAATTAACGAAAGACGTCGGGGGCGTGTTGGGGTGGGTTGAGCTTGGAGCGGTGGCGCAACGGTTAGCGCACCGAGCTCGTCACCCATGGGCCTTACACCCCCCCCCCCCCTGTGCACGTAAGAGGCGACATTGTGCTTGCGTGCGCCTGCAGATGTACGCAAGCCGGGGAGCGGTGGCGCAGTGGTTAGCGCACCGCACCGTGCACCCGGCCGCACGTCCCTGACGAATGTCCGAACCCTAGGTCGACTCGGCCTCAAACGAGTACCTGGTGCGACGTGTAAACACAGCCGCTGGGGGAGACAAAGGCGGCCGGGCGTGGTGTTGGCCACCCGCCCCCCCTCGTGTGCCACAGTGCCGGCCTCTAAAGCTGCTCGCTTGCCAGGCACTTGCCCCCAAGTGTTCTGCTCGGGAGGCTACACGGGAGGATCTTTGTCCTTTACCTTTGTTGCTGACGACTGTCCACCTGTCTGTCTCGTGTCGCCGCTCTCTCCCAGGGAGAAGCCGGCAAGCTGGGCCCGCACGGAGGCAGGGGAACACCGGTAAGTGTGCCGACTTCGCCGTGGGAGTCCCACCGGTCGATGCGGCCGCCGCCGCTCGCGGATTCACTCCGCTCGCTCGATCGCTCGCTCGTTCGCGGGGAATCTCATCCAGCAGTGGATTGATCCTGGTGTGATGGTTGATGATGATGTTGCTGGTGTGTACATGCAAAGGTCAATGGACAGACGTGAATATTGCCGGGATCAGGGCCGGGGTGTTTTTATCGTCTCGTTCAGAAGTTAATTTTAAATTTACGTCACACGCGCAGACACGCACACAGCGCACATACACCGTACACACACACACACCATACACACACACACTGTAGACACACAGATAAACCACACACACACCATACACACACACACCGTAGACACACACACACAGATACACAATACACACACACTATACACACACACACACACCATACACACATCATACACACACACACCGTAGACACACAGATAAACCATACACACACACACCATTCACACACACACACCGTACACACACACAGACACACACACACATACACCATACACACACACTATACACACACGCCGTAGATACACACAGACACACACACCGTACACAGACACACACACGCCGTAGACACAGACACACACCGGACACAGAGACACACACACAACAACAACCGCTATTCGCCACTAAGTGGCGGTGACGTCACCACGACGCTTGTGCCAGGCCATGTGCACCTTGAGGCCACGTGAAGTGTCGAACGCCCGCTGGCAGGAGGTCACGGGGCAGATCCAGGTGCCATGGGTCGACTGACTGAGATGACCGAGATGACTGGCTGATGCACCACCTGTGCCCTCTACTGTGCCAACACACCGTACACAGACACACACCGTACACAGACAGCGTACACACACAGATACACCATACACACACACATCACATACACACACACATCGTATACACACACACCGTAGACACACACAGACACACACACACAGACACACACACACAGATACACCATACACACACCGTACACACACACGCCGTAGACACAGACACACACACCGTACACAGACTCGCGCATGCTCACTCACTCACTCATTTTAATAAACAATCTTCCCTGGTGATAAAAAAACAATAAATTTTTCTGACGCTTTTATATATTTTTGGGAGTGGTTGGGGGGGGGGGGTGTAGGTGGGTGTAGGTGGGTGGGGGAGAGCGTTGGTGGGGGGGGACGGTGTAGGTTTGTGGAGGTGGGTGGGTGGTGGATGGGGGGGAGCGTTGGTGGGGGGGGGTGTGTGGCGGTGTAGGTGGGTGGAGGTGGGTAGGTGGAGGTGGGTGGGGGAGAGCGTTGGTGGGGGGGGACGGTGTAGGTTTGTGGAGGTGGGTGGGTGGTGGGTGGGGGGGAGCGTTGGTGGGGGGGGGGTGTGTGGCGGTGTAGGTGGGTGGAGGTGGGTAGGTGGAGGTGGTTGGGGGAGAGCGTTGGTGGGGGGGGACGGTGTAGGTTTGTGGAGGTGGGTGGGTGGTGGGTGGGGGGGAGCGTTGGTGGGGGGGGGGTGTGTGGCGGTGTAGGTGGGTGGAGGTGGGTGGGTGGAGGTGGGTGGGGGAGAGCGTTGGTGGGGGGGGACGGTGTAGGTTTGTGGAGGTGGGTGGGTGGTGGGTGGGGGGGAGCGTTGGTGGGTACGAGAACGTGGGATGAGGGTGGGAGAATGGGTGGTCTGGGGGATTCCCTGTCTCTGTGTTTGTGTTTCTCTCCTTGTGATGACGGGAGACTTTGTAGGATGAACGTTGAGATGCATAAGGGGGCAACGGGTGACCAATGAGGTCTGAATTGATCTGTAATAATGTAGGGGCAACTGATGAGGGGTTGACAACTCTGCGTACGAGATTAACCAGGGGGGTGACGGGGGTGGTGTCTCTGCGGAGACCCCAAGGACGTTTCCAGCGTGCCGCTTTATTTATCCGAGCACTCGGGAGCGAAATGAATGCACGCGTGCGCACTGGCGGATCATTGGGGTTTATTAGTAATGAATCGGCATTTTGCGACCCCCACTGCCACCGTGTAGCAGATTATTATGTGCCAGGGACTCTATGAGATGATGGGACAATATTCTGAGTCCATCATTGGCAATAAGTGACGGCAAAGCGGTTATAAGTGACTCACAGAATTGTGCGCAGTTGCGTATACAGTACACGACTTCCCTGAAGGCATTCACCTTCAGTGAGCGCGATGCCGATCACACAACGCGATTCGAATTCGACCCTCGATCGATGGCTGCGTCATCGCCACGCACGCGTCGAATTAAAAGCAAGGGACAAGTCCTTACTTACGAACAACTCCTCTATCATTCGATTTAAAGCTTTCGTGACTGCAGGGATTCATATTCTTGGTTCTTTCGCTAAAGTCACGTAGAAGGGAAATAATAAAAGAATAAAAATAAAACATTATAAAGTTCTCACGACGTTTCACACCTGATGGTGATGATTGCTTGTGTTGCAATAGAAACGTCGTGAGAATTTTGTAGTTTTATTTTTTATTATAAATTTTTTTCACTTCTACGTGACTTTACTGAAAGAACAAAGAATATGAACTCTATCATTTCGCATTGTCGCAGGGGTTGCCCCCCCCCCCCCCACCTGAAAATCCTAGCTCCGCAGCATTGCGCATGCAGCAACGCGAGCCCAAGTTCACCCCCGAATTTAATTGAATCTCTTTGTATTGTGCGGCGTTGTGTCCACGTGTCCCTCCACTCCACCCCCGTTCTGAGACCCGTCCATGGAGATCAGCGGAGAACTGCCGCCACCGGCTGACGGTGTCAATTCTCGCGGTTATTTTGTCCACGACCCAAGTGCCCAATTTGACTCTGCCCGCGCGTGTCCTCTGTGTGCGCGTGTGCGGGGGGGGGGGGCGGCTAGCGGATAGATCCCAGCTGCATTCCCTCCCGCCGCCGATTAGCAGTCGTGGCGAATATTTCAAGCGGTCCTGGGGGGCCCTGCCCTGAAACGAGTACCTTGTGCGGTGTGTAAACATCGCCACTGGGGAGACAAAGGCGGCCGGGCATAGTGCTGGCCACCCATCCCCTCGTGAGTTGTTCCGGCCTTCATAGGTGCTGCTACTCGTTAACAGCACTTGCCCCGACAGTCCGTTAAAGACTATACACGGATTCATCTTCTTGTTTCTTTCGGTAAAGTCACGTAGAAGGGAAATAATAAAATAATACAAATAAAACATAATAAAATACAATTCTCTGACTTTACCGAAAGAACCAAGAAGATGAATCCCTGCAGTCACAAAAGCTTTAAATCGAAAAACTATACACGGAATCGCGGTCTTTGTGAGTTTGTATTGGCCTATTTGCAATGTTTGTCTATCTGCCCGTCTTATTTGCTCGGCATTCTGTCTTCTGGCTGGGTGTCTGATGTCTCTCTGCCTCTCTCTCTGTCTGCCTATTGGACCCGTCTCTCTGCCTAAATCTTTATTTTCTCGCCTCGCTCTCTCTCGTGTTCTTACCGACTCTTTGTCTCTGTATCCGCTCCCTCTCCGCGTGCCTCATCTCTCTTTCCTCTGTCCCTGGGACTCTCTCTCTCTTTCTGTTCATCTCCCTTCCTCCCTTCTCTCTCTGTTCCCCCCCACTCCCACCTCTCTCTCTTCCTCTGTCTCCGCATTTCGTTTTTGTGCTCCGTTTGATGTCCAATGATTTTTAAATTTCCCGTGCGATGTCGAGCTGCTTTCTGCCAGGGGTCCCGCAAGGCCACGGCAGCGTTTCAAACGCGCAGACGGAAGAGAGGGAGAGCGCTGCGCAGACTTAAAAGTCCCAACTCTCTCTCTCTCCCCACCTCTCTCTCTCTCTCCCCCCTCCCGCTCTCTCTCCCTCTCTGTGTCTCTCTAATTGTCTAGGGTCCACGTGGAGAGCGGGGCCAAAGAGGGCAGCAAGGAAAGTCAGGCCCCAAGGTGACACTGCACACACGGTCGGGGCTCCGCGCTAAACCACCGTCACCGCCACCACCGCCCCCACTGCCACCACCGCCACCACCGCCACCACCGCCACCACCACTGCACCACCACCACCGCCACCACCGTCACCACCGCCACCACCGCCACCATCGCCACCGCCACCAACGCCACCACCACTACCACCACCGCCACCACCACTGCACCGCCACCACCACCACCGTCACCAACGCCACCACCGCCACCATCGCCACCGCCACCACCACCGCTCCCACCGCCACCACCACCTCTGCCACCACCGCCACCACCACCGCCACTGCACCACCACCACCACCACCACCAAACCCCCATTGCTACCAGCACCTACCACCCACCACCACCGCGCCTCGCTGCGCACAAGGTGCCTGGGTTAAATTATTGCCTCGGGTGCCCTCTCTGTGTGGAGTTTGTTGTCTCACCCTCTCCCGCAGTGCGCGAGTGCCTCCCCCCGCACCTCCGAACTTCAGGAAACCTGTGCACGTTTCCAGATTATTGTCACGTTAACTGCGCTGAGAAACGTGCGGGTCCCAAGTTCGATTCGCGGCCATGGTCAACGTTGACGGCGAGCGAGATCTGAACCGGTCCTGAGTCTCGCTCCCGACTCCTAACCCCATTTCACACTGGGAACCTTTGTACCTAAATGTTATTATTGTTATCATTATGATTGCGTGCCCTACCCGCTGTTTCCGAGTGGCTATTGAACTTCACACGTGCGGCTGGCGACGGTGGGGCTGCCGACGGTGGGGCGGGCGACGGTGGTGGGTGGCGACGGTGGGCTGAGATCGATGGAACGTTACAGCGCTCACGATGATCTGTCGACAAAATTGGCAACCTTCAGAATAAGCGGCGTGTCCGTCATTGATTCGCCGTTGGCGGTTAGCGGTGGGGGGGCGGTAGGGGGGGGCGGTCGGGGGTGGTGGAGGGGTGGTAGGGGGATCGGGTTTGAGGGGCAAACGGGGGGGGGTGGGGGGGGCATCTCACCCCTCAAGTACTCGAATGGTAAATGTTCAAGTGGTTTTAGCTCTCCAGCACACAACCGGCGTGCGCTGGACTGGCGACGAATCGGCCACGTTTTTGTTTCGCCTGACACGAACCTTACACCGATTTTGATGACACACATTGGCGCGTTCACACGATCTGACCCAACAACAAGCCGCTATTGTAGATGATGTTGGTCGCGAACGGCCCGCTACTGCTGCTGTGCATGGAACCGAGCGTTTACACGTCGGGAGCAAACCGGTGGCAGCCGCTACCACCCCTCCCCCCCAGGTGGAGTCTGTGATGCTTGCCAGTGCCAGACGGGGGTGTACAGCCCTCGCTTCCCCCCCCCCCGGTGTAGTAATTTCTGTATTACTCGGCGACCCATGATCTCACCGTGGGCGCGTCACCCGTCGTGTCATTTCAGGGCAACACCGGGTCAGATGGCGCGCCCGGGCCGCAGGGCGAAAGGGTAAGAGTTGAATTGTCTCTGAAAGGGTGTGAGTTGAATTGTCTCTTTGAAAGGGTTTGAGTCGATTGTCTCTTTGAATTGGTGTGAGTTGAATTGTCTCTTTGAATTGGTGTGAGCTGAATTGTTTCTTTGAAATGGTGTGAGTTGAATTGTCTCTTTGAAAGAGTTGAATTTTCTCTATGAAAGGTTGAGAGTTGTTGTTGCTGCAGTCGTTGATGTTGGTGCTGTGGTTGTTGCCGTAGTTGTTGCTGCTGCAGTTGTTGTTGATGTTGTTGTGTGATCCCACGTGTGGCCTCCTGCCTCCTGTCTACATTGCACGGCCCTGGTGACAGCTTGGCAACATCTTCATCCAGCAGTGGATCGATCATGACTGTTGCTGCTGCTGCTGCCGATGATGATAAGCAAACACTAGCAAACAGGATTCCCAGCTGTAACTTGGCAAGCAGGGTTATTATGCTTTGGTTTATTTAAGAAATGGAGAGCCTGGGTCACATCGCCCCGGCTGTTTGAAGGACTCGCTGCAGAGCAATGCTGTGCTGAATTGTCTAACTAATGTTGTGTTGAATTCGTCCGACTAATGTTATCCCCCTGGTTTATCCCCAGGGACCTCCCGGATCGCAAGGGCCCACTGGCTTCCCTGGACCCAAGGGACCTCCGGTGAGTGCTGTCATCCTCGGTGGTGGTGTTGTCCATCGTCGTCGTCATCACCATGGTCGTCATCACCGTGGTCACCATCACTGTGGTCCCCATCGCCATGGTTATAATCAGGTGGTCATCATCACCGTGGTCACCATCACCATGGTCCCCATCGCCATGGTTATAATCAGGTAGTCATCATCACCGTGGTCACCATCACCATGGTCACCATCGCCATGGTCACCATCACCTAGGTTGCCATCACCATGGTCACCATCACCGTGGTCATCATCGCCGTGGTCACCATCACCGTGGTCATCGCCGTGGTCATCATCACCACCGTGGTCCTCATCGCCATGGTCACCATCACCATGGTCACCATCACCGTGGTCATCATCGCCGTGGTCACCATCACCGTGGTCACCATCACCATGGTCACCATCACCATGGTCATCATCACTGTGATCATCACCATCACCGTGGTCATCATCACTGTGATCATCACCATCACTGTGGTCCTCATAGCTATGGTCATTATCACCATGGTCCTCATAGCTATGGTCATTATCACCGTGGTCACCATCACCATGGCCACCATCACCATGGCCACCATCACCGTGGTCACCATCACCATGGTCACATCACTATGGTCAACATCACCGTGGTCACCATCACCGTGGTCACCATCACCGTGGTCATCATCACCGTGGTGACCATCACCATGGTCACCATTACCATGGTCACCATCACCATGGTCATCATCACCATTGCCATGGTTATTATGAATGACATCATCGTCTTGGTCTTCGTCGTGGTGATGGTCATCATCATCATCACTGGTGTCATCCCGTTAAATCATAACCATTGACGAACACCTCCCCACGCACAATGTCGCTTTGGCCATACGCCACCGCGCTGGTCAGAGCGGGTCACCGAAGCTGTCGGTGTGACGGAGCGCCGGGCCCGCCCCTCCAATGATATCCCTCCACCGATATAACCAGCCATAACGTGGTGCGTTGAACACACTGCGCCGTCAGTTGTTCACGTAGGCTTTATCACGTAGGCTTTATCGCGTAGGCCTCATCGCGTAGGCCCCATCGCGTAGGCCCCATCGCGTAGGCCCCACCGCGTAGGCCCCTTCGCGTAGGCCTCATTGCGTAGGCCCCATCGCGTAGGCCCCATCACGTAGGCTTTATCACGTAGACCTCATCGCGTAGGCCCCATCATGTAGGCCCCATCGCGTAGGCCACATCGCGTAGGCCTCATTGTGTAGGCCCCATCGCGTAGGCCTCATCACGTTGGCTGCACCTGAATGGGTTGAATGATGATGTCACCCTTGCTGCTCTATTTAAGGCCGGGAGTAAGTGGAGGGCTTCACTATTCTGGCAAATTGCCCGCTGATGCTGGATGTAATTACCAGAAAAATGTCGTACTCAAAAATTCGAAAAGTTGTGGATTCACTCTTCAAACACACCGGTGGGCTAAAGTAATGAACTATTTGTCTTTTGCCAACGTGACAATTTTTAACTGTTTGGCCGTGTCGGGTGGTGGAGGGTGGCGACACATTTATAAATAACGCGATCTAACCCAAAAACCTTCATGATGAACACTGTTCCCTGCCGCCAAACCCTCGCTCCCCATCGAAATATCCGTGCAGAATCTCAACCCTGCCGTCCGCCTTATTTTTTTAATTTAAATATTCGCTTCGTTTCACCAGATGTAAGGCGCTCGCTGAGCTGCTACGTAGCTATTTTTCAGCAGCGACCTGGCCATGACAAATGATAGCCCAACCAAGTGGGGGGCTTATCATCATCGTCGTCGTCGTCGTCGTCATCATCACGTGGAAGTGTAGAGCTGCAGCCAAACACTCGAAACGCGCGACGTCCATTCAAAGTGAGGAAGGGAAAAACCCGAGGACCCGGAGGAAAATCCACGCCACCACGGGGAGAGAGAGAGAGAAACTCAAACTCCAATAATGCAGCAGGCGTCAGGGTCGGGATCGAACCCACGACCTCCTGTATACCAGGCGAGGTAGTTAACATCTCCTACCCACCGTGATGATAATGAGAGAGAGAGAGAGAGACACGCAAACTCTAAATATACAGCAGCAGGCGTCAGGGTCGGGATCGAAACCACGACATCCTGCACACCAGGCGAGGTAGTTAACATCTCCTAGCCACAGTGATGATGATGAGAGAGAGAAACACGCAAACTCCAAATATACAGCACCAGGCGTCATGGTCGGGAACGAACGCACGACCTCCTGCACACCAGGCGAGGTAGTTAACATCTCTTGGCCACCCGTGGCCTCCCCACGCGTCCGCCCGTGCCCGCGCCCGAGCCTGCGAAGGATTGTGTGCAAGCTCTCTGGGAACTCGTTGAGCCCGGTATGGACGGGGGGAGCTGACGAGACTCTCGTCTTTTTTTGTCCCTTCCAATCCCCAGGGCCCCGCTGGCAAAGATGGACCACCGGGGCATCCGGGACAGCGAGGAGAGATCGTGAGTTCACCCCTCCCCATGAGCAGCAGCAGCACCAGCAGCAGTCCCGTGATGAGCATTGGCAGATCCGAGGTGGGGGGGGGGTGTTTGGTGGGGGTTTGGGGAGGGTTTGCTCCCTCCCCCCACGCTACCCCCTCTCCACTACTCCCCCCCCCCTCCTCCTCCTGAGACCACAAACGCATTGGTATTGTAGTGTTATTTATAGAGGACATAGTACGTGGATTGTCCTGTTTATTAATCTCGGGGCCCTACTTAAAAAGATTGACATTCTGGACAACCCTCCCCCATTGGGAGGTTCCTAGATCCCTGTGTGCGTGCGTGTCCATGTGTTTGCATGCATGTGTCCGCGTGTGCATGTGTTTTGTGTCCGTGTGTGTGTTTTGTGTGCGTGCATACGTGCGTGTTTGCGTGCGTGTGTTTGTTTGTGCCTTTGTGTTTGTGCGCGTGCGTTCGAGAGATTACGGATAGACCTTTCAGAGACGAATCGTGACTCGGACCGACGGGAATTCATCGAATGGCAGGAGAGGTGAATTTGTCACATGGGGTCGCCACCCGTACTGGTTCGACACGGTACATTCGGGGGGGGGGGGGGGGGGGGGGGGAATCGGCGTCCGTGTTTGGGTGGCAGCGGGAATCGATTCGTAGCCGAGGTCTGGCGGCCACTGAATGAATTTCACCGCAGCGAACCGCAGCGCCAGATCGGCCGAGTGCCGAGAGAGAAACGCGGCCCCGGCTCGGACTGCAGCGGAAGGAGAGGTTGGAGGCCCCAATTGTTATATTTTTTTTTTATATACGGACCCCGGTCCATCCGTCTCGCACTCGTTCCGTCTTTGAGGGTCGGAGGTGTTTTTGTAGAAATTGGAGAGAGAGAACGAGAGAGAGCGAGCAAGAGAGAGCGAGAGAGAGAGAGCGAGAGAGAGCGAGCGAGCGAGAGCGAGCGAGCGAGAGCGAGCGAGAGAGAGCGAGAGAGAGCGAGAGAGAGCGAGCGAGAGCGAGAGAGAGCGAGCGAGCGAGCGAGAGAGAGAGAGCGAGAGAGAGCGAGAGAGAGCGAGCGAGAGAGAGCGAGAGAGAGCGAGCGAGAGAGAGCGAGAGAGAGCGAGCGAGCGAGCGAGAGCGAGCGAGCGAGCGAGAGCGAGAGTGAGAGCGAGAGAGAGCGAGCGAGAGCGAGAGTGAGAGCGAGAGAGAGCGAGCGAGAGCGAGAGAGAGCGAGCGAGAGCGAGAGAGAGCGAGCGAGCGAGAGCGACGAGCGAGAGAGAGCGAGAGAGCGAGAGAGAGCGAGCGAGAGCGAGGAGCGAGCGAGCGAGAGCGAGCGAGCGAGAGAGAGAGAGAGAGAGCGAGAGAGAGCGAGCGAGCGAGAGCGAGCGAGCGAGAGAGAGCGAGCGAGCGAGAGCGCAGCGAGAGAGAGGAGCGAGAGAGAGCGAGCGAGCCGAGAGCGAGCGAGCGAGAGAGAGAGAGAGAGAGCGAGAGAGAGCGAGCGAGAGAGAGCGAGAGAGAGCGAGAGAGAGCGAGCGAGAGCGAGAGAGAGAGGAGAGGAGAGAGAGCGAGAGAGAGCGAGAGAGAGAGAGGCGAGAGAGAGCGAGAGAGAGCGAGCGAGAGCGAGAGAGAGCGAGCGAGCGAGAGCGAGAGAGAGCGAGAGAGAGAGAGCAGCGAGCGAGCGAGCGAGAGCGAGAGAGAGCGAGAGAGAGCGAGCGAGCGAGAGCGAGAGAGAGCGAGCGAGCGAGAGCGAGAGAGAGCGAGCGAGCGAGAGCGAGCGAGCGAGAGAGAGAGAGAGAGCGAGAGAGAGCGAGAGAGAGCGAGAGAGAGCGAGGCGAGCGAGCGAGCGAGCGAGAGCGAGCGAGCGAGAGCGAGCGGCGAGAGCGAGCGAGCGAGAGAGAGAGAGAGAGAGAGCGAGAGAGAGCGAGCGAGAGAGAGCGAGAGAGAGCGAAAGAGAGCGAGAGAGAGAGAGCGAGAGAGAGCGAGAGAGAGAGAGCGAGAGAGAGCGAGAGAGAGCGAGCGAGAGCGAGAGAGAGCGAGCGAGCGAGAGCGAGAGAGAGCGAGAGAGAGAGAGCAAGCGAGCGAGCGAGCGAGAGCGAGAGAGAGCGAGAGCGAGCGAGCGAGAGCGAGAGAGAGTGAGTGAGCGAGAGCGAGAGAGAGCGAGCGAGCGAGAGCGAGAGCGAGCGAGAGAGAGCAAGCGAGCGAGCGAGAGAGAGTGAGCGAGAGCGAGCGAGCGAGAGAGCACGTCAAGAAAATGAACGATCCGCTGTCAACAGCCACGGTCGACTCCGGCTTGGAGTTGCGCTAATTTTTGGACGCCCTCTGTAACTCGCGACGGAGCCGGCGCGTTTTCTACGCTCTTAGCTTTTTCCCTTCCCGCTACGTTTAATATTTAACAACGCCAACAGACCCCATAAGGTCGCATTCTGTCCGTCGCGATGAAAACGCGCGTTGTAAATCACACCCGATTTCGTCAACACTATTAAACATCTTGCCGCGCTTTTTAACCCGCGGCGAAATTGGACGACGCGGATTCGCGGGAGGGGGCGGTGGGGGGGGGGGGGGGGTGCCGCAGTGACAGGCGGGAGTCCGGTTCACGTCCATCCACATTAGGGGCCGTCCATAAATGACGTCACGCACCTAGGGGAGCGGGGGGGGGGTCAGACATTTGTGACGATGTGTGACGAGGGGGGGGTTTGAGAAATATGACGTCACGTGAAAATGCGCAACTTTAAATATAGACATACACGTTCTACTTAATTAAATAGACTTTTTAATAAATGTTTTCTCCTACAACATCAGAGTGCAGCGCCACATTAAATACGCACTACAATGACAATAGTTTAAAGCGATTTGAAGCATGTTTTATTTTCAAAATGGAAAAAAGTTTTTGGTGGGGGGGGGGGGGGGCAGAGCTTTGAGACGTCATATTTGAGGGGGGGTCTGACTTTTTGTGACGCCATGTGATGGGGGGTGGGGGGGGTCAAAAATCGTCCAAAATCACGCGACGTCATTTATGGACGGCCCCTTAATACGGCGTTCGCGTAGACGCGCGTGTGTACGTGTGTCGAGCGTCTTCCGCACCGCACGGAGCCGGCCTCGCTCGTTGAAGCTGCTGGGGGAAGGACAACAAACTAAACACGAGAAGCGGTTAAATTTCGATGTAAAGCTTTCGTGACTGCAGGGATTCATATCCTTGGTTCTTTCGGTAAAGTCACGTAGAAGGGAAACAATAACATTATATAAATAATATTTTAATTGTTTAATATTTATATTATTTTATTATTTCCCTTCTACGTGACTTTACCGAAAGAACCAGGAATACGAGAAGCGTTTGTCAAGAATTGAGCGTTCAACTGAGGTCATTTAAAAGCGCCAGAGCTCCCCGGCGGCTTTCAAATATCGGAAGGAAAAATGGGCCACCGCGGAACCATTTGCGACGCCGAAACTTGATTGGCGACGAGTCTTCCGACACGCGACGCGACTCCGAGCGCGTTACAACGGAGCCGGCCCCCCAGGTTTTCCGACATCGCGTGGCGCGTGAAGCTTCAGCCGTTCCCGGGTGACTTCTCCGTGCGGATATTCGCCCGTGGCACATCGGGCGGGCGACGTTTCGACCGCCTCTGGGGAAACGGCGGCTCCCGTTTGCCACGATCCGACTCACGACGAGGACGATGCGGTTGTTCCAGGAGCGCTCCGTTACCGTCGCACTAAACGCAGGAAGAAGACAAACCTGTCAACCCCTTGCCAGTGCCCTACCTTACCAGTGCCCTACCTTATTACAGACTGGTTCAGACACCTTATTGGTCACCCCGTGCCCCTTATAATCTCAACGTTCATCCTACAGTCCCATCACGAGGGAGAAACGCAAAAAAATAGACACAAATTATCTTACTGAACTGTTTTACGTATTGATTTTGGTAATTGGTGTCTATGATGCTACTTATCATGCTACTGTTTGTGATCTTGCATGCTGATGCTGCTGCTTGCTTGATATGAGGATGCACACACCATACAGTGTTTTTTTTATTGTATACTCTTTGGTTCTTTCGGTAAAGTCACGTAGGTGGAAAAATAAAATAAAAATAATGTATCACGACGTTTCGATCGCAACACAAGCGGTTATTCTCAGGCGGAAACATTTTTAATTTTTTTATTTTATTTTTATTTTCTATCTACGTGACTTTACCGAAAGAACCAAGAATACGAATTCCTGCAGTCACGAGAGTTTCAAGTCAAAAGATGTGGAAGATATTGATCGCGAAAGCCTCCTGCCGCGTGCCAAGCTGTTTTGTGTCTGCCCCGTTGCTGCTGTTGCTGCTGCTGCTGCTGTTGCTGCTGCTGCTGCTGTTGCTGCTGCTGCTGCTACTGCTGCTGCTTCAGGGTTTCCAAGGCAAGACTGGAGTGGCTGGACCTCCCGGCGTAGTCGGGCCTCAGGTAGGCGGCGCTGCCGAAACGCCGGACGAGCTGCATCTCCTGTCGTTCAACGTTGCGCAGCGATGAAGAATAATAATTATGACGACGTCGACACTCATGTTAATAAATCACTCGTGATAATCCACCACTACCACCACCACCACCCCCACCACCACCACCTCCACCCCCACCCCCACCCCCCACCACCACCTCCACCACCCCCACCCCCACCACCACCACCCCCACCACCCCCACCTCCACCCCCACCTCCACCACCTCCACCCCCACCACCACCAACACCACCCCCACCACCCCCACCACCACCACCACCCCACCACCACCACCACCACCACCCCCACCACCACCACCACCACCACCCCCACCACCACCAACCCCACCACCACCACCCCCAACACCACCACCCCCACCACTACCACCCCCACCATAACCACCACCCCGACCACCACCACCCCCAACACCACCACCACCACCCCCACCACCACCACCACCACCCCCACCACCACCACCCCCACCACTACCACCCCCACCACCACCCCCACCACCACCACCCCCACCACCACCACCACCCCCACCACCACCACCCCCACCACCACCACCTCCACCCCCACCACCCCCACCATCACCACCTCCCCCACCACCCCCACCATTAACACCTCCCCCACCACCACCACCCCCACCACCGCCACCCCCATCACCACCCCCACCACCACCACCCCCACCACCCCCACCACCACCACCCCCACCACCACCACCATCACCACCACCCCCACCATCCCCACCACTAACACCACCACCACCTCCACCACCCCCACCACTAACACCACCACCACCCCCACCATCACCACCCTCCCCACCACCCCCACCACCACCCCCACCACTAACACCACCACCACCCCCACCACCCCCACCATCACCACCCCCCCCACCACCCCCACCACTAACACCACCACCACCACCCCCACCATCACCACCACCCCCACCACCCCCACCACTAACACCACCACCACTAACACCACCACCACCACCCCCCCCCCACCACCCCCACCACCCCACCCCCCCCACCACCCCCACCACTAACACCACCACCCCCACCACCCCCACCACTAACACCACCACCCCCACCACTAACACCACCACCACTAACACCACCACCACCACCCCCCCCCGACCACCCCCACCACCCCCACCCCCCCCACCACCCCCACCACTAACACCACCACCCCCACCACCCCCACCACTAACACCACCACCTCCACCACTAACACCACCACCACCCCCCCCACCACCCCCACCACTAACACCACCAACCCCCACCACTAACACCACCACCTCCACCACCCCCACCACTACACCACCACCCCCACCACTAACACCACCACCACTAACACCACCACCACCACCCCCCCCCCACCACCCCCACCCCCCCCCACCTCCCCCACCACTAACACCACCACCCCCACCATCCCCACCACTAACACCACCACCCCCACCACTAACACCACCACCACTAACACCACCACCACCACCCCCACCACCCCCACCACGAACCACCACCACCCCCACCACCCCCACCACTAACAACCACCACCCCCACCACTAACACCACCACCACTACACAACCACCACCACCCCCCCCCCACCACCCCCACCACCCCCACCCCCCCCACCACCCCCACCACAACACCACCACCCCACCACCCCCACCACTAACACCACCACCCCCACCACTAACACCACCACCACCCCACCATCACCACCACCCCCACCACCCCCACCACTAACACCACCACCCCCACCACTACACCACCACCCCCACCACGAACACCACCACCCCCACCACTAACACCACCACCCCCACCACCCCCACCACTACACCACCACCCCCGCACCACCCCCCCCATAACACCACCAACCCCCACCACTAACACCACAACCACCCCCACCATCAACACCACCCCCACCACCCCCACCACTAACACCACCACCAGCCACCACTAACACCACCACCCCCCCACCACCCCCCACACTAACCACCACCCCCACCACCCACCACCACCCCCACCACCCCCACCACTAACACCACCACCCCCACCACTAACACCACCACCCACCCCCCCCACTACACCACCACCCACACTACACCACCACCACTACACCACCACCACCACCCCACCCCCCACCACCCCCACCCCCCCCACACCCCCACCACTAACACCACCACCCCCCACCACTAACACCACCACCACTAACACCACCCCCCCCCCCCCCCCCACCACCCCCACCACCCCCACCACCCCACCCCCCCACCACCCCCACCACTAACACCACCACCCCCCACCACCCCCACCACTAACACCACCACCAGCCCCACCACTACACCCCCCACACCCCACCACCACCACCCCCACCATCCCCACCACCCCCACCACCACCACCCCCACCACTAACACCACCACCCCCACCACTAACACCACCACCACCCCCACCACTAACACCACCACCACCCCCCCACAACACCACCACCCCCCCCACTAACACCACCACCACCCCCACTAACACCACCACCCCCCCCGCACCCACCCCACCACCACCACCCCCACCACTAACACCACCACCATCCCCCACCCCCACCACCCCCACCATCACCACCACCCCCCACCATCCCCACCACTAACACCCCCACCACCCCCACCACCCCCACCATCACCACCACCCCACCACCCCCACCACTAACACCACCACCACCACCCCCACCATCACCACCACCCCCACCACCCCCACCACTAACACCACCACCCCCACCATCCCCACCACTAACCCCACCACCCCCACCACTAACACCACCACCCCCACCACCACCACCACCACCACCCCCACCACCACTAACACCACCACCCCCACCACCACCCCCACACCACCCCCACCACTACCACCCCCCACCATAACCACCACCCCGACCACCACCACCCCCAACACCACCACCACCACCCCCACCACCACCACCACCACCACCTCCGCTGTCCACAGGGCCCTTCGGGGCAGACCGGGCCCATGGGGGAGCGAGGCCACCCCGGCCCGCCGGGCCCCCCGGGCGAGCTCGGCCTGCCCGGCGCCGACGGCAAGGAGGGGTCCAAGGTGAGGCCGCGGCGAAGTCGAAAGAACCACTTCGAATGTCCTCGTGGCATGAAGTTTAGAAATCTGCGGCAGCACCGTGGTAGCCCTCGCTTATGGCTAAGCTGCATGGGGACAAGCGTGCCCCCGAGGCTACCTCCGGCTTCCGCGGATATTTCCCCCGTTTCAATCGAAGTGTTATTGAAAAGTTAGAAATCTGCGGCAGCAACGTGGGAGTGCTCGCTTCTGGCTAAGATGCCCAGGGACAAGTGTTGCCCCCGAGGCTACCGCCGGCTTCCGCGGATATTTCCCCCGTTTCAATGGAAGTGTTATTGAAAAGTTAGAAATCTGCGGCAGCAACGTGGGAGTGCTCGCATCTGGCTAAGCTGCACGTGGACAAGCGTTGCCGCTTAGGCTGCCGCCGGCTTCCGCAGATATTCCCCCCGTTTCAATCAAAGTGTTATTGAAAAGTTAGAAATCTGTGGCAGCACCGTGGGAGCCCTCGCTTCTGGCTAAGCTGCCCAGGGACAGCAGCCACCGGCTTCCGCGAATATTCTCCCGTTGCAACTCGAAGTTGGAATGAAAAGTTAGAAACCCGCAGAAGTGCCCCTGGGAGTGCTCCCGTCTGGCTTCGCTGCACAGGTGGCAGGGCCAGAGGGCACTTTGGCGCCTCTGAATGTGTTTTTGTTCCGCGGTTTTCAAGCGAACGTTGAAATCTGCGGGTGTCTCCCACCGTGGACACACGGCGTGGCTCACGGAGACGTGGCCACGTCAGATTTGCCCGCCTAATGCTGAGATTTCACCTGGCTGTAGATAGACCCGGTGATTTAAAGTGCACACGTAACGTGGTGGGGAGGGAGCAGATTTAAAGCCCTCACAAACGAAGCTTTGTAAGCTCCTCTCTCTAGACTTAAAACTTTCGTGACGGCAGGAATTCATATTCTTGGTTCTTTCGGTGAAGTCACGTAAATAGAAAACTAAAAATTCAAAAATAAAAGCAAAAGAACCCACGACGTTTCGATCGCAGCACAGGCGGTCTTCATCAGGCGGAGAGAAAAGTGAGGGGCAAGCCTCCAAATGTAGCTGCTCGTAAGGGCTCCAGAGTGTTGGCATTGGACGATGTGACAGCAGCAGAGGTCAGTGTGAACGAAGTCGGTGTTGCCTTAGAGTCGTGGCATCTCTTCAGAATTGTGAGTGACTCGATTCGATGAGCTCTTTCTTGTTTCGGAGTTTGTTCAAAGATCTTATGCCTACGTGGAAACCCTAACCCCGTCGAGGCGGTTCAATTTAGACTTAAAACGTTGGTGAATGCAGGAATTCATATTATTGGTTCTTTCGGTAAAGTCACGTGAATAGAAAACAAAACATCTTAAATAAAAGCAAAAGAACCCACGACGTTTCGATCGCAGCACAGGCGGTCTTCATCAGGCGGAGAGAAAAGTGGGGGCCAGCCTGAATCTACCCACTTGTGCCCCCCAATTCCCTAACCCCCCCCCACCCCCCCCCGTCTCTGGCATGCAGGGAGACCCGGGGCCCCTGGGGAGTCCGGGGAAGGAGGGCCCCCCAGGACTGCGAGGCTTCCCGGGCGAGAGGGGACTGCCGGGCCCCGTGGTGAGTGAGCGACCGCACCGCAAGCCACGCGCGTACGCACCCACACAAAGATAAAGATCCCCCCGTATAGCCTTAGCAGATTGTAGGGGCAAGTGCTGTTAGCGAGCACCTATGAAGGCTGGAACGGTACACGAGGGGGTGGGTGGCCAGCATCACGCCCGACAGCCTTTGTCTCCCCAGTGGCGATGTTTACACACCGCACCAGGTACTCATTAAAGACTGAGTCGACCTAGAGGAGGCCCAGGACCGGTTCAGATAATCGTCACTGGTGTTGGCCGTGAGCAGGAATCGAACCCGGGTCGCCAGGTTCACAGCGCAGCGCGCTAGCCGCTACACTACCGCTCCCCATACGCACACACACACGTGCACGCACACACACTCGCATACACACACATGTGCACAGACACTCGCGTACACACACATGTACACACACACGCATGCACACACTCGCGTACACACACACATGCGTCTGCACACAGGCGCACACGCACGTACACGTGTGTGCACGTGCAACCTAGGCAGATGGCCAAATACGATCGCCACGATTGTATTTGTCCCTCAAATTTCTGTGCCGCTTGTTGTGGCAACCATTGTCAACACCTTACTCACTCACCCACTCACTCGTCCATTCACCCACTCGCCCATTCACCCACTCACCCATTCACCCACTCACCCACTCGACCATTCACCCACTCACCCATTCACCCACTCACCCACTCACCCATTCATCCACTCACCCATTCACCCACTCACCCACTCACCCATTCACCCACTCACCCATTCACCCACTCACCCATTCACCCACTCACCCACTCACCCATTCAGCCACTCACCCATTCAGCCACTCACCCATTTACCCACTCACCCATTCACCCACTCACCCACTCACCCACTCACCCACTCACCCATTCACCCAATCACCCATTCACCCACTCACCCACTCGACCATTCACCCACTCACCCATTCACCCACTCACCCACTCACCCATTCACCCACTCACCTATTCACCCACTCACCCACTCACCCATTCACCCACTCACCCATTCACCCACTCACCCATTCACCCACTCACCCACTCACCCATTCACCGACTCACCCATTCACCCACTCACCCACTCGCCCATTCACCCACTCGCCCACTCACTCAACTATTCACCCACCCACTCACTTGAAACCTTACCCACTTACCCACTCAACCATGCCCCCCACTCACCTATTCACCCACTCACTCAATCACCCACTCACTCAAAACCTGGCCCACTCATCCACTCATCACTCAATTATTCACTCACGCACTCATTCGCATAACCACTCACTCACTCAATCGTTCAATCGCTCACCCACTAATCCACTCGCCCATTCGCCCACTCAGTGGCCCACACAATCACTCGCTCACTGTTCACAATTGACTCGTGTGTTAGGCCACGCTAACGATCTCAACCAAAGGACACGGCCAAACATATTCATTTGGCCTTGCGGTGGACAACAGATTAAGGACGCGCCGATTATTATGATCATCGCTCGCAAACGGCGCTTTCCCCAACAGCCTGTGAAAGGCTACACGGGGTGGGGGGGTGATCTCCGTCGTGGTCAACATTTATACGTTTGTAATGACCGAAATTATGAAGCAAGTTCTAGTTCATTTATTAGGTACTAGCAGAAGTACCCGGCTTTGCCCGGGTGAAAAATATATTTCTTAAAAACCTTACATATATATACACAGATACTAAGGTATTGTCAAAGCCCGGTGGGCTGTTTGTACATTTCTCCACCAACAAATATATATAAGAGGCTTTCACAAGTCCAAAAAGTTGTAGAAAGTGTGGGGTAAATAGTTGATATCAAAATGTTTCCGAAAATTGTGGTCTCCCCCCCCCCCCTCAAAAAATATCTTTACCCCTCGTAGGTATATATACTAACAACACCTTACATACAACAGAGGAAGTGGTATCTATTGACTCTGTAGTAGTATCTACTGACTGTACCGTAGTATCTACTGAGCCATGTGTAGCTACTGACTGTGTAGTAGTATTTAGTGACTGTAATAACTACTGACCATAGTAGTATTTACTGGGCCTACAGTAGTATCTACCGACTATATACTCGTAACGACTAACTGTATAGTATCTGCTGACTCTATAGTGTATCCACTGACTATAGTAGTAACTACAAAATCTATAACAGTATCTACTCTATAATAGTATCTACTGACTCTAGTAGCTACTCACCGTAGCAGTATGTACTGACTGTATAGTAGTATATACTGACTGTAGCAGTATTGACTGACTGTAGTGGTATATACTGACTGTTTTAGTATTTACTATAGCGGTATCTACCAACTCAATAGCAGTATCTACTATCACTACAGCAGTGTATACCGACTGAGGTTGTACCTGCTATCACTACAGCAGTGCATACTGCTGTGTTGGTACCTGCTATGATTACAGCAGTGCATACTGCTGTGTTGGTACCTGCTATGATTACAGCAGTGCATACTGCTGTGGTGGTATCTGCTATGATGAGAGGAGTACATATTGTGGTGGTGGTACCTGGTATGATAACAGCAGTGCATATTGACTGTACTCATCATTCACCCTCACCATTCACCACTCACAACTCACCCTTACCACTCATCCTCACCACTCACCACTCCCACTCACTATTCACCATTCACCCTCACAACTCACCACTCACCAACCTCCCTCACCAATCTCCCTCACCACTCACCCTCACCACTCACCCTCACCACTCACCCGCACCACTCACCCTCACCACTCACCCTCACCACTCACCAATCACCACTCATCCTCACTACTCACTCTCACCACTCACGCTCATCCTCACCACTCACCCTCACAACAACCACTCACCCTCACCACTCACCCTGACCACTCATCCTCACCAATCACACCCTCACCAATCACCAATCACCACTCACCCGCACTGCTCACCCTCACCACTCACGCTCACCCTCACCACTCACCCCTCACTAATCACTACTCATAACCGCCACTTACCCTCACCACTCACCACTCACCCTCAACACTCACCCTCACCACTCACCGTCACCACTCACCCTCACTACTCACCACTCATCCTCACCAATCACACCCTCAACAATCACCACTCACCCTCACAACTCACCCTCACCACTCACTCTCACCACTCACCCTCACAACAACCAGTCACCCTCACCGCTCAGCACTCACCCTCACTACTCACCCTCACCACTCATCCTCACCAATCACACCCTCACCAATCACCACTCACCCACACCACTTGCCACTCACCCTCACCACTCACCACTCACCCTCACCATTCACCCTCACCACTCTCCCTCACCACTCTCCCTCACCACTCACCAGTCACGCTCACCACTCACCCTCACTACTCACCACTCACCCTCAACACTCACCCTCACCTCTCACCACTCACCCTCACCACTCACCCTGACCACTCACCACTCATCCTCACCAATCACACCCTCACCAATCACCACTCACCCTCACTGCTCACCCTCAATGCTCACCATCACCACTCACCCTCACCATTCACCACTCACGCTCACCCTCACCACACACACCTCACTAATCACCACTCACAACCGCCACTCACCCTCACCACTCACCCCTCATCCTCACCAATCACACCCTCAACAATCACCACTCACCCTTACCACTCACGCTCAACACTCTCCCTCACCACTCATGCTCACCACTAACCCTCACCACTCACCCTCACCACTCACTAATCACCTCTCACAACCGTCACTCACCCTCACCACTCACTCTTACCACTCACCCTCATCACTCACCCTCACCCTCACTACTCATCCTCACCAATCGCACCCTCACCAATCACCACTCACCCTCACTGCTCACCCTCACCGCTCACCACTCAACCTCACCCTCACCACTCACGCTCACCCTCACCACTCACCCCTCACTAATCACCACTCACAACTGCCACTCACCCTCCCCACTCACCCTCACCACTCACCCTCACCAATCACCACTCACCCTCACCACTCACCCTCGCCATTCACCCTCACCACTCACCCTCACCACTTTCCCTCACCACTCTCCCTCACCACTCACCCTCACCACTCACCAGTCACGCTCACCACACACCCTCACTATTCATCACTCACCCTCAACACTCACCCTCACCACTCACCCTCACCACTCACCAGTCACGCTCACCACACACCCTCACTATTCATCACTCACCCTCAACACTCACCCTCACCGCTCACCACTCACCCTCAACACTGACCCTCGCCGCTCACCACTCACCCTCACCACTCACCCTGACCACTCACCAATCATCCTCACCAATCACACCCTCACCAATCACCACTCACCCTCACTGCTCACCCTCACCGCTCACCCTCACCACTCACCCTCACCCCTCACTAATCACCACTCACAACCGCCACTCACCCTCACCACTCACCCTCACCACTCACCCCTCACTAATCACCACTAACCCTCACCACTCACCCTCACCACTCACTAATCACCTCTCACAACCGCCACTCACCCTCACCACTCACCCTCACCACTCACCCCTCACTAATCACCACTAACCCTCACCACTCTCCCTCACCACTCTCCCTCACCAGTCACGCTCACCACTCACCACTCACGCTCACCACTCACCCTCACTACTCACCCTAACCACTCACCACTCACCCTCAACACTCACCCTCACCGCTCACCACTCACCCTCACCACTCACCCTGACCACTCACCCTAACCACTCACGCTCACCCTCACCACTCCCCCTCACTAATCACCACTCACAACCGCCACTCACCCTCACCACTCACCACTCACCCTCACCACTCACCCTCACTACTCACCACTCATCCTCACCAATCACACCCTCAACAATCACCACTCACCCTCACCACTCACGCTCAACACTCACCCTCGCCACTCATGCTCACCACTAACCCTCACCACTCACTAATCACCTCTCACAACCGCCACTCACCCTCACCACTCACTCTTACCACTCACCCTCACCACTCACGCTCACCCTCACCACTCACCCCTCACTAATCACCACTAACAACCGCCACTCACCCTCCCCACTCACCAATCACCACTCTCCCCTCACCACTCACCCCTCACTCCTCACCACTCACCCCTCACCACTCACCACTCACCCCTCACCGCTCATCCCTCACCGCTCACCCCTCACCGCTCACCCCTCACCGCTCACCCCTCACCGCTCACCGCTCACCCCTCACCGCTCACCCCTCACCGCTCACCTCACCGCTCACCCCTCACCCCTCACCGCTCACAGCCCTCACCACTCACCCCTCACCCCTCACCACTCACCCCTCACCACTCACCACTCACCCCTCACCCCTCACCACTCACCCCTCACCACTCACCCCTCACCACTCACCCCTCACCCCTCACCACTCACCCTCACCACTCACCACTCACCCCTCACCCCTCACCCCTCACCCCTCACCACTCACCACTCACCCTCCCCCTCACCACTCACCCCTCACCACTCACCGCTCACCCCTCACCACTCACCCCTCACCACTCCCCCCACTCACCCCTCACCACTCACCACCTCACCACTCACCCCTCACCACTCACCCCTCACACTCACCACTCACCATCACCACTCACCTCACCCTCACCACTCACCCTCACCACTCACCACTCACCCCTCACCACTCACCACTCACCTCACCCTCACCACTCCCCCTCACCACTCACACTCACCCTCAACACTCACCCTCACCTCACCCACTCACCCCTCACCACTCACCCTCACCACTCACCACTCACCCTCACCCCTCACCACTCACCCCTCACCACTCACCACTCACCCCTCACCACTCACCCCTCACCACTCACCCCTCACCACTCACCACTCACCCCTCACCCCTCACCACTCACCACTCCACCCCTCACCACTCACCCCTCACCACTCACCACTCACCCCTCACCACTCACCCCTCACCACTCACCACTCACCCCTCACCACTCACCCCTCACCACTCACCACTCACCCCTCACCACTCACCCCTCACCACTCACCCCTCACCACTCACCCCTCACCACTCACCACTCACCCCTCACCACTCACCCCTCACCACTCACCACTCACCCCTCACCCCTCACCACTCACCACTCACCCCTCACCACTCACCACTCACCCCTCACCACATGTTAAGCGCGATCCTAAAGGAATCTACAACCTTCGATGATTCCTTTGCGCGATTCAAAGAATCGATTCCTGGCGCATAGGAGGTTTCCATTTTTAATTACAGAGTTTTATTTTCATTGTTATGTTATGTTTTAAAGTTTTCAGGAGTTTTTAATTATATTTTAGCCCCAGTCAACGCCGGATATTTCCCATTCGTAGCAGTTTATATCAACTCTATAACCAACTTTATTAAACGGAAATAAGGCGATTCTAAATGAATCTACAACCTTCGATTCCTTTTCGCGATTCAGAGAATCGATTCTTGGCGCGGTCGGGTTTATAATTTTAATTACACAGTTGTATTTTCATTGGTATGTTACAATAATACTGTCTAATCGCTATAATTTTATTATCTACCGACCCTATAATAGTAATTGCACACATTGGGGTGGAAGGGGAGTGAAGAGGACGTGAAACTTTGATGAATTTACCTCAGAGTCGCGTGTTAATGCGTGCGCATATTTGTAACGGGAATTAAAAATGGCGTCCACCCCGCAGCGAAGTTGTTGCTACCCGTTGCCAGGGGCAACCGCCGTGGTCCGCGCCGGCCGGCAATATTAAATAAATAAATATATATTTACGTAACTCTATAAAGAGCAATCGCACTAAATCGATAATCGGTCCGATTTAAAGTTTAGAGACAAAAAATCGGAAATGCCTAAGTTTACCGCGGGCCGGGGGCGTGCCCACCTGCAAAATTTAATCTCGGCGAACCCCACGGTCCGAGAGCTAAATCCCCCAGAAGGGAGCGTACGCAGACGGACAAACAGACAGACAGACAGATAGACAGACAGACAGACAAAAAATGAATTATATAGGTTAGATAGTCCTGTGAGCCATTCGGCTCTTGAATCGGGTGCAACTGCAACAAACAAAAAACAAAAACATGAACAAGAATACATCTTATAGTGACTATGTGCAAACTGAAAATCCAGGAAAAAACCCAGCAAATATTACAGAAAAAAAGCACCGTACACCAACGCTGTGTGCAAAAATCCCAGTGGGATGCAAGTCAAACAACAACAACCACAAGACAACTTAGATTAAGGCCATCAGTCTAACTCCGTACTACAACAAACAAACATGGCCAATTCAAAAAACTTTTCGAAATCACCAAAATAAAGCCATAAAAGCAATGTAACAGTGATCATAGAACTGTGACCCAATTTTCTCAATATACGACATAAACAACATGTACCACCAAACCCTGCAGCCATAGCTGGCTGCATGAGTCACTCCACAACATCAGGAGCATCAGTCGGAGTATCAATGCACCTTTAAGATCAGCACACTAAGCACTCACCCCAAGCAAATGTGCAGCCCAAGGGACTTGCAGGACACAGGCCAAGGCCTCCTGTCGACGTGAAGAGGCCTCCACGATGATCGGTCGGGAGGCGAGCGATTGACGGGATCGGAGGAGAGGTTCGAAAGGAAACTGTAAAAAGCGTGAAGTCGAACCTGGAGCCGACTGTTGAGAACCGTTCAGGGAGGAGGAGGGGATTGGCTGGAGGAAAGAGAGGGGTGGACAGACGGTTCGGGAGCCAGGGCTCGAGAGGGGCGACACGGGGGGGTTGGGCGGGGAAGAGAGCGCGACGGGAAGGGGACGTCCGGGGAAGAGCTCGAGCTCCAGGCGAAGAGGCCGGGCCTAGGGTTGGTGCTGCGCTCCGGGGCGTCGGAGTCGTCGCACATTTTGAAACACGGGACATGCTCCGTGAGTGACGACGACGATGATGACAGCGTTGACGACGATGGCGATGACGATGATGACGACAGAGAATGAGAACGACGACGATGATGATGATGGCGATGACGATGATGGCGATGACGATGATGACGACAGAGAATGAGAACGACAACGATGACGACGATGGCAATGACGATGACGATAACAGCGATGACGACGATGCGATGACGATGATGGCGATGATGATGACATAGAATGAGAACGACGATGACGGCGATGACGGCGATGACGATGATGAAGACAGAATGAGGACGACGCCGATGACGACGGCGGCGATGACGTCGAACGAGAACGTCGTCGCGCGTCGACACTCGGCGAGGCGTCGCTCCCGATGGAACGACGTCGCTGTTTGTCTGTTTGTTGTTTTTGCGTTCACGGCGGCGGCGGCGCACTTGAGCGTGTCCACGTTCACGCGCGTGTCCAGCCCCCCTGAATAGAGGTAGAGTCCCCCCCCTCCTCCCCACCCCCCATTGACGCTCCCACGGTGCGGTCGAGTCGACGACGCGTCGGGGTCACCGTCTCTCTCCGCTCCGCTCTCTCTCTCTCTCTCTGCAGGGCATCCCGGGATTGAAAGGAGACCAGGGCCCAGCAGGGCCGCCGGGGCCCACGGTGAGGCCCTCTCCTCCTCCTCCTCCTACATTCATCGCGTCCCCACAAATCCCTCATTGTCTCACATAGAGACCCGTAGACTCACATAGAGACCCGTAGACTCACACAGAGACCCATAGTCTCACATAGAGACCCGTAGACTAATATAGAGATCCGTAGACTTGCACAGAGACCCATAGACTCACATAGAGACCCAAAAACTCACATAGAGACCCGTAGACTCGCACAGAGACC